GCGCAAAAAACTCTAGAGATCACTGACGACACTCTTTCAACCTACAAAAATCAAGGTAGTTTCTTTCACGAGGCAATCTTATGTAAAGAAACAGCTTTGATTTCTTATGGTTCTATAATCTAACACGCTTCTATATGTTTTTGCTTGAGAAGGTGGTTATGATCTGTTGGGACGAACTCAAGATCAAATTAGAACAACTGAACAAGTTCAGGCTGCACTAGCTGCCTGCAATGATTTGAAGTTAGATGGCCTTGTAATTATTGGAGGTGAATTAATTGTTAAGGTTTACGAAACAATATGATAACTAGAAGTTACTAAGAGTTTTGTTTGGCTTGTAGGTGTGACATCAAACGCTGATGCCGCTCAACTTGCTGAAACATTTGTTGAAGCCAAATGTCCAACAAAGGTAACTTCCATGACAGGATCTCTATACTGTAACAACTTTTTGGTGCTTCTATCTCTAATTCAGTTGGACGTTTCTCATGTTTTCAGGTGGTTGGTGTTCCTGTTACACTGAATGGAGACCTCAAGAATCAGTTTGTTGAAGCTAATGTTGGTTTTGATACAATATGCAAGGTATCGATCTTAAACATTTTGGACTTTACATTGTAGTTGTAGTTAAAAAGAAATTCAGGAAAACAAATATCGAGCAGCTTCAGTGTTATTAACTTTCTGGTGGAATTGGTCTCATGCTCAAACAAAAACAATTTAAAAGTGAACTTGCAGAAAGTAAAACATAATATATCAAAGGGATGACCTAATTCTTAAAGATTATACTTGCAAACTTTTAAGTTTGAAATGCAATTCTCTTTACGTTGCATTGCATGCAGGTCAATTCCCAACTTATCAGTAATGTCTGCACTGATGCTCTCTCTGCAGAGAAGGTAATGTTTTTTACATCACAAGATACCATCTCCTTGTTGAGTGGTCACATCAATCTCTGGTTGCATGATGTTTATTGAAGTCATGAAGGAAGCCAGTAAGAGCAGTAGACGAGTGTAGTTATTGCTTTCTGTTTTCTTACCCAAGCTGCTTTTCTTTTTTAGTATTATTATTTTATCCGTCTTATGGGAAGGAAGGCATCACATGTTGCCCTGGAATGCACCCTCCAATCTCATCCAAATATGGTCAGTTTTTGCTTACTAATTATATTTGTTTTAGTTACATATGCTACAGAAAATGTCTATTTTTCACATAACATTTGATATATTTTAACAGGTAATTCTGGGTGAAGAGGTGGCTGCATCAAAGCTTACCCTTTTTGACATATCAACACAAATTTGTGATGCAGTTCAAGCTAGGGCTGAGCAAGGTTCGAGTTGCTTTATTTAATAACAGAAAGAGCTTAGTTGTCAAAAAAATTATTTTTTCCTGACCTTGTGTGTTCGAACCAGATAAGAACCATGGTGTCATCCTTCTGCCTGAAGGGCTTATTGAGAGCATTCCTGAAGTGTATGCACTGTTGAAGGTAACTAATGTTAAATAGTAACTAGTCTCTAATGCGCTTCACATCCCTCTTGCTCTCAAGGAAAGAGGTTTTTTGATACTTCGATGTGACATTAACCTGTGTGTTGATGAGATTTACTGCAGGAAATTCACAGTTTGCTCAGGCAAAATGTATCTGCTGATAAAATTTATTCCCAACTGTCACCTTGGGCATCTGCTTTGTTTGAATTTTTGCCACCTTTCATAAGGAAACAGGTTCTGTTTCTAATTTCTATACTTATTAATAATTAAAGATATGTGCACATGATGGACCAATTCGTGAGTTTAATGAGTGTCATGTTCAATGTCACAGCTTCTCCTCCATCCTGAATCAGATGATTCTGCACAGTTGTCACAGGTAACTAGCTTGAGATATAATTACTTTCTTATTAGGAACATACTCCATCAAATCTTTTCTAATACCTGTTCTGCCTTCTCTTCCAGATTGAGACAGAGAAACTATTGGCACACCTTGTAGAGAATGAAATAAATAAGCGTTTGGTAGGGAAATATTCCCCTTTTGTTATCTACCTCTTTGATACTTTCTTGTTGACACTGACAAAACTTTTAAAATCATTAAATGAGTTATTTATGCCTTTCTGTCAACCTAACTTTTTCCCCGGAAAACACTTTCCATATAACAAGTTCTTCTGCCTTTCTCTCGACATTTACTGGAATGTTGTAGTAGTATCCCCTCGAATCATGTCTACTTAACTGGTAACCTTAGTGGGTTTCAGACTATGATTCTTTACTCACTTGTTTCTCTGTTGTGGTGGGCAGAAAGCAGGTACTTACAAGGGTAAAAAATTTAATGCCATCTGCCACTTCTTTGGTTATCAGGCTCGTGGATCCTTACCATCCAAGTTTGACTGTGACTACGCCTACGTAAGCTATCAATAAAGCTTGGTTATGTTTCCTTCGCCTTGTTTTAATATTCTCCCTTTATTAATAATGATGCATTTTCGCAGGTTCTTGGACATGTCTGTTATCATATACTTGCAGCTGGTTTAAATGGTTACATGGCTACTATAACTAACCTAAAGAATCCAGTGAACAAGTGGCGTTGTGGTGCTGCACCTATTACAGTTGAGTTTTTTATTTTTTCTAGTATAATGCATGATATGGTTTGACAAGTTCTAACCATCATTTCATTTCGCTTGCTGGGAGCACCCTTCCTCTGATCTACACTTTATTCCCTTGATAAGGTCCGATTTTGATTGTATTTTATTTGCTAAATCATAGGCAATGATGACCGTGAAGCGCTGGTCCCAAAATCCCAATTCTTTGGCAATCGGAAAACCTGCTATTCATCCAGCCACCGTGGATTTGAAAGGCAAAGCATACGAGTAGGTGTTGGTTTAAGTGAAGCATCGTTGTTTCTAGATTTATAAGAACTCATTCTAATGTGTAAGCCTGTAATTGCAGGCTGCTGAGACAAAATGCAACAAGGTTTTTGCTGGATGATATCTACAGAAATCCAGGACCCCTTCAGTTTGATGGTCCAGGTGCTGATGCTAAAGCGGTAACACTATGTGTTGAAGACCAGGATTACATGGGCCGCATCAAGAAACTACAGGAATATCTTGATAAGGTGCGAAGCTTTCCGTTGCTTTTTCGTAATTTTTGGTTCTGGTTTCGAATTTCTTCCATGCAACTGCAATTGCTATGGTAGGATCTTTCTAATACATCACCATATGCCAATGACATATTTTTCAGGTCCGTACCATTGTGAAGCCAGGGTGTTCACAGGAAGTTCTGAAAGCAGCTTTAAGTGTAATGGCATCTGTGACTGAGGTTCTCTCTGTGATGTCTTCATCTTCAACTGGCGCACAAACCCTGTGATACAACCACCTGCGAACGAACCGGTTATTGTGCTTGTGCTCCCTTTTTTCTTAATTATCCTCAACTTTAGGGCTGAACCTTTTTCTCTTATTTCTTTTTGTGAGAAACTGATTTTGAGTTGCCCCTGATTTCTTGTTTTCGGGATGGAAGACATTTTATTGTTTTCTGAGAAGAGATAATATATTAATAATCACAAGTGTCGGCTAATGGACCTTCAAATATAGAATAAATTTCTAGAATAATTGACGATTATATAAGATATATTACAGGATAAATAGTGAGATAAAATTCACAAAATCCCTTGTAAAATATTAAGTTACGAATTATCTTCCAATATTTATCTTCATTGAAGTCCCATTTGATACTATGTATGTTGAACACTAGCATATTGTTACGTGTATACCATACTTCTTATCATTATACTAATTACCTCACATTTATATTTTTTATGCAAATAGGAAAAATGCATAATTATAACGAAGGAAATAGTAACATAAACTAAATACATAATTAGAACATTTTCTATAGGCATCGACAAGAAACTAATAACGAAAAAGTTAAAAATTTATCCAAAAACTCGAATAAAATATAGATACAAATATATCTGATTGCATCAACAAATAAATTATAATAGAGGATTAAATTACTAAAATATCACCAATAATGGTAAATCAAAATCAAGTTTTGTGATATAACTATCTTTGAACATAAACTACGTATCTAAATATAATCCGAGAGTCTAAAGCATGGCAAATCAAAATAATAACAAATAAACGTTTGATTATCGAGGTGATTTCAAATTCAATCTTGAGAAAATTAAACGAAGAGAACAACAAAAGACCAATAAAAAAGATCGAAACCGTACCATAAAATAGAGAAAAACGTGTCATAAAATAAACTAAAAATAAAGATGTAATATAAAAAATAAAAGAAAAATAATAAATACTACATTCGTTTATCAATACCAAAATTGATGTTGCCACCCGTTAATAAAAATGAAAAAAAATGTAAACGGCTTGGGCAATGGTTACCCTACACTAATATTAAATTTTCGAAGATGATCAACATAATCGAGTATATAGTTTATCCTAAGAAAGAAGCTTTGAAAAACATTACTTAAGGGGCATTCCCTAGAATATTCCGTATTTATATCCATGAATGGCGTAGCAAGATTCTAAGGAAAAGTTATTAAATGGACTTTGATTTACTATCTTATTTGTGAGCTCCGTCAAGAAAAATATAAAATTCATCTATTTTATTTTTGTTTTTAAAGTAAATTTTTACATTTTCCTTACATATAAATAAAGAGTGTATATTATTTAAAAATTATTTTGAGATTGATGAATTTTATAGACTAAAATATAAATGACATAATGAACCGAATCTATATAATAATTTTTTTATTTCAAGGATCTATTGAAAATATTTTAAAGTATTAAAGTAAGGCGAAAAGTCCAAAGACTTTTAACTGATTCGCATCTTGTCAAGAATCAATTCATTACATGAATATCTCAGGAGGAACCTAGTCAAAGTGTACCCCTAAGCTGGTTGGCTTGGATCACATCACATCAACGCTTCCTCGTCATTTCTGTTTCTTCCTCCACAAACTACCAAGCAAATCACATCCTATATATATATTTGTGTGTATATAGATAGGACCATGCCGGCTTGCGTGGTTCATCATCTTTAGCATTAGCAAACAAACAGGGATGGCGTTGAAAGTACTGTTCGCCCTCGATGCAGCAAAGATCCAGTGGTACCACTTCAAAGCGATCATAATCGCCGGCATGGGTCTCTTCACCGACGCCTATGACCTCTTTTGCATTCCTCCCATCGTCAAGCTTGTAGGACGAATATACTACGATCATACCTTAGACAAGTGCTCGATGCCCCTGTTGAAACAACATGAAACTACCCCAACCGCCGTCGAGTCCACCCTGGTCTCCATAGCTCTTCTTGGCACCGCCATCGGACAACTGGTGCTCGGGAGGCTCGGCGATCGGAGAGGAAGGCGCAGCGTGTACGGACTGTCATTGGGCATGATGGTTCTTGGCTCCATAGCTAGCGGCTTCTCTATATGCAAGACCAGGAACTGCGTGTTGGTGAGTCTGGGGTTCTTCAGGTTCTTGCTGGGAGTAGGGATAGGAGGAGACTACCCGTTGTCGGCAACCATCATGGCGGAGTTCGCTAATAAAAAGACACGCGGCGCCTTTATAGCGGCGGTGTTCTCCATGCAGGGGTTTGGGATATTGGCCAGCTCCATAGTGACAATGGCGCTTTGCAAGATATTTGAGGTATCGTCGAATGTGGAGAAGGGTGAAACCCCGGAGGAAGCTGATATCGTGTGGCGGCTCATTCTGATTATGGGTGCAATTCCCGCTGCCATGACGTATTATTGGCGTATGATGATGCCCGAGACTGCCAGGTAATTTACTGTAAATTTTTTAATCGAGGGTAAAGTACATATAACCTTTAAAAAATTAACGGTTGTCGTTAGATGTTAATCTACTAAGATATAATAAAATTATATTTTAATGATGTCTACTGGCACCATTATTGCTTCCAAACACTAGATCAAAGACATAATGTTTCAAGTATTGGTTCGATGACATAATATAAACAAAGACTCAATCCATAAAATACAGTTCTAACGATTATGAGATCAAATTTTATTATATCTCAGTGAGTATGTTAACATCCAACTCAGACAGTCGTCAATTTTTTAATGAAAAATGACGAATTTGGAACATATAGATAGTAAGATGACTAGTTTGTAAATTTTAATAGTCGGGGAACTTAACAAAATAACATCTTATAGTTAGGAGATCATTTTACAACTTTCAATATTAAGATACTTAACAAAATAGTATCTTATAGTCAATGTACCATTTGTATACTTTACCCTCTAATTAATTTAGAATGATGTCACCACTACTTGGAGGATGGGAATCACTTGCTCCCAAATTTTACGTAAGCGGTTTGATCAATTGCTAGATACACGGCTCTGGTTGAACACAATGTGCTACAAGCAGCCAAGGACATGGAGAAAGTATTAGACGTTCCAATGAGTCAAATTGCTGAAGACTCCCCTTATTCGCCATCTGATCAGCCTGCAACTCATCCATCCTATCCTCTTCTTTCGAAACGCTTCCTCCGTCGTCATGGCGTTGATCTCTTCTCTTGTTCCGCGTCATGGTTTCTCGTCGACGTCGTCTTTTACAGTAGCAACCTCCTTCAATCTCAGATATATCATCGCTTCGTAAAGGACAACAATGATGTGAATGGCTATCAGCTGGCTTTTAAAGTTGCTCGTTTCCAAGCAATTCTTGCAATCTGCTCTACCATTCCTGGTTATTGGGTTACAGTCTATTTAATCGATCGAATTGGAAGAGTCAGAATTCAAATGTTAGGCTTCTTGTTCATGGCAATGGTTTACTTCGCCATTGGTATACCCTACAAAGACTACTGGAGTGATAACATAGGGAAGGGATTTATGGTCCTTTACGGCCTCAGTTTCTTCTTTGCCAATTTTGGACCCAACACCACCACTTTTATAGTCCCGGCTGAATCATTTCCGGCGAGATTTCGATCGACGTGTCACGGGATTGCAGGGGCCGTGGGGAAGATCGGTGCGATCATTGGGACGGTTGGTTTCGTATGGGCTTCGAGGAATGAAGAAGACATCTCTGGGAAGCCGAACCCCGTGAGAATGACAGTGGCATTAGTAATGTTGGGTGTGGTGTGTCTTGTTGGATTGGTGGTGACATTTTTCTTTACACGGGAAACCATGGGAAGGTCACTCGAGGAAAATGAAATAAATGAAGATGATTTTTTACGCCATACATAGTGGCTACTGGTGCATATATGTAGTTACCAAAACGAGTATTTTGTATGAGTTCTACGTTGGTTATTGATTTACATTTGTTGAAATAGTACATAATTGGAATCTACTGATTGGCTTTCGTTGTAAAATGAAATGTTGTTTTTAAAGGTTGTTACTTCAAGCAATTATGTTTGTAAGGTGTATTAGCGTTAATATATTAAAAAGTTATGAACAAATATTACTTTGTAATCATCTTAGACTAATTAAAAAAATGGTAAGTAGTTTGTTTCTCTATATCTAATAAAACACGTAATTAAGAAAAACTGAAACCAACAACAACTTGGTTTAATGGGATGAGACATTATATCATTTAAGTAAGGTTAGAGATTTTTATCGTGACATTTGTAAATAGAGTAAACTGAATTGAGATAGTCACTCTCATATTAGACTTGTGCATTATATAATTCAGATTAATCAATTAATAAATCATAGTGTTATAAAAACGAAAAATTAAAAAGCTCATGCTTAATTTTTGAATGTAATACGGTTTTCGTTAAAATAACAACTACACTTATATTATAGCACCCACCAAATTCAAATTCTTGGATTATCAACAGAGGAAACACCTAGTTCAGTTGACAAAATTTTCCAACCACGTAATGTTTTTTTGTTGCATAACCACACATCGATACTGTAACTTATTTCTTAACAACATTAAGGATCATTATGAATTTCCTCAATCAAAACAAAAAGAGGGATTCGATTTTCTTCTTCTTCTTCGTACTCTTTCTCTAAGCTAAAGATTATTATTGTCTTCAACAAATTATTTTTCTGTAATCTATAGATTGCCACTTTCCATCTAAATGCAATCTAGACATAAATTAGACTCATTTAATTTTGACTTCATGTCAATTTTTTCAAACATAAATCTTAATCAGTAATAACTTTATTTTTTTCATGTCGAAAGCGTCAAATGAACGTTTGCAGTTTTGGGGTTAGCCCAGCCATGCATTGGCCTGTCTTTGCGATTCAGCGTCTACTCATTGAGTGCCCAATTTGAGACTTCTTTTGACAGAACCTGACCCAGTTGACAACCTTCTCCCAACAGTTCCAATTTCCAAACACAAGAGTGTCAATCACGCGTGAATCGCAGTAGAGGTTTTTCAGACGTTCTACTTCTTTGTGTTTGCCATCGCAATTTTGGCATCACCCGCATTTTCCAATCTGATCCTTTCAAAAGTAGATCGACGCGTAAGTTTTCACCTTCTTCATTCATTTTTTTTTTCAAGCTTTCTAGGGTTTAATATCATTACTATTACTCCTTACTAGTTCATTTCTATTATTGGTTCACTGCTTCTTGTCTGTTTGAGGATTTTATCCACCTGAAACTTCATTTCTTGGGTTGATTGGAACTGCTTCTGTAATTGCATATCTTTGATCGCTGCAAGCTGTAATTTTTTTTTGTTTTGTTAACAGCGTTCCTTTTTGTGTTGCAGATATATTTGACATCTTAAGTTGTTCGGATCTCTTCAACTTTAAAGGTGCTTCAGTAAATTCTTTTTTCTTTCAAGTTGCTAATGCTTTCAACTTTATTACTATCTCTTTTTGTTTGGGTTGTTACATCTTCTGTTATATAGGTTTTCTAGGTGGAGAATGCAGGTCCCAAGACGGCGTCCGAGGTTTTGCTGGCTTTTCCTGAGCAACAAGCCAAACACATGTCATATTTGATGGCTACCCCACATGAAGGGAAAGGGAAAGCCAAAAACCCTGTTGTTGCTTTCCCTGTTGAGGTTGTCAACCCAAAAGGCATGCCTCCTGCTTTAAGATTCTATTCAGCATCATTGCCCAAGGGATTAGTTGAGGGTGATTGCTTTACTTTTGATGTCTTGGCTGTATTTACCCATGCCTTGCGACCGGTTCCTGAGCAAATCACTCAGGCTGATATTCAGCTTGTAGTATACCAGGATAGTGCATACTATCTATCTCCTTATGCTGTCAAGGCTCAGTCTCTAACTGTTAAATTGCCTGATTCTAGAATTGAATCCTATACAAAACTGGAGAATACAAAGATTAATGGTTCAGAAATCAAATATGGTCCTTATGAGAATCTCCCTGCGATCTCGTACTCACCCATAGCATTTCATTTTGAAAGCAATCAACCGTTTGCTGTTGCTCAGGAATTGGTGAGAGAGGTAGAAATTTCCCTTTGGGGTAATGTGCAGGTCACCGAGCATTACTAGCTTATCCATGGTGGTGCCTAAAGCAAGGGTGAATTTTCCAGGTTACATCATACTTTTTCCTTTTTGTGGATTATGGTGAGCACCACACCAGGTCCGAAGTTTTTTTTCTTCTAAATTATTAGCTTGACACTACAGGCTTGATTTCCAGGCCAGGCCCAATGTTCGAGGTGCGTCTGCCTTTAGGTATCTTGTTGCAAATTTGCCACCGAGGGCACATTCTGTCTATTATAGGGATGAAATTGGCAATATATCAACATCTCATCTGCGGGGTGACTCCAAAAAGGTTATACTGCTGAGTATGATTCAAAGAGTATTCGATCATTTGGTATTTTATTCTTATTGATGCACCAGTTGTCTTTGCAGACGGAACTATTGATTGAACCAAGGTACCCAATGTTTGGTGGCTGGAGAACTGCTTTTACCATTGGATATGGCTAGCCACTTCAGGATTTTTTATACGATTCAGAGGGGAAGCGCTTCCTTAATATCACTTATAGTAGCCCGATGGTTGAGTTGGTTATTGATACTCTCATTGTGAAGGTTTTTATCTCTTCCTTCCCAACCTTGCCTACATCTTGTATTTAATTACTTATTTCACTTTGTACTAAATTAGGACACAATAACATTACTTGTAGTTATACTTGTTACGAATAAGACATGTCACCAAGTACTAAAATGGGAACTTATGCTGTTGTATTCTTATGACAGTAGGACTAAGCTATGTGCTTGTGTGATATGATTGCAGTTTGGTGAATAATAGGAAATTTGTTCTCTTGGCAGCCTCTTACCTTAATCTGGTACTTTGATTACAGGTTGTTTTGCCTGAGGGTTCTAGTGACATATCTGTAGCAGCTCCTTTTCATGTGGAGCAGTGACAAGAGGTATTAGCTGGCTTAAGATTTCTGTATTTATTTGACCGCATGTGGTATGACAAAAGGTCATTTGTATTGAACTTTGAGTTTGAAGGTGGCGATCTTTTATATATAATGTGTTTATGGTTGTATGCAGATCAAGATCTCCCACTTGGATATTGATGGTAAACCAGTAGTTGTGCTTAAAAAGACTAATGTTGTGCCTGAGCACAATCAATATTTCCAGGTATTCTTTCTTTATCAATTTTTGGTCTGAATGTCATGTCAAGCACACTGCTTCTAGTATGTTAGTGTAAGGCCTCCACTCCATACGGAATGTTGGACATTAGGTTTAATAACCCTACATGTAATGATTTTCTGTTTGTTTATCTTTCAGGTCTATTATAGGTTCAGAAAACTATCGATGCTTAGGGAACCACTGATGTTGATTTCAGGATTTTTCTTCTTTGTTGTTTGCATTGTTTATATGCACTCAGACATATCAATCTCCAAATCCTCAGCTTCTTATTTGGCTAAATAGCAGTGGGAAGAGGTTAGTAGGATGTTGTTATGCCATTTACTTTGCTCACCCCATATCACCATGTACAAGTGAATTGGTTTAAGATTTTGCTCTGCAATTTCAGGTTCAGGCAGCGATTCAGCAGGTTCAGAATATAGTAAGTAGATGCTTGGCAACACATGATAAGCTGGAAGCATCACTACGTGATCTTTATAGGACCGGGGACATTCAAGCTTGTAAAGCTGCTCGAAAAGCAGCTGATGGTTTGTTAAAAGAGTTGTCCAAAGAATTGAAGCCTTTGCTGACCACCGTGCAATCTTCTCCATCAGCCGCTCAAGTATTACCCAAGGTTGACCTCTCTTTTTACCATTTGGTGTTGTTGCTCAACTTTTCTAGATCAATTTGATATAAGATTTTTTTCCTTTAACGTTTATGAATTGTCATTTGTTGCAACATCTTGTTTTGGTAAACTTTAAACCTTGATATGCGACAATGTTCTTACTGTAACTATGCATGACAGGAAGTTTCTGTTTGCTCTGGATGTCAATAACATTTATACTTTTTTGTTTGCTCTTTACGGGCTGTTTGTACAAGTGATATATATGTTTATGTGTAGGTGGAGGAGCTGGTGGCTAAGGAGAGGGAATTACTAGAAAAGGTGATGGTGAAGCACCCTACGGTGGTGGACGGCTATGAGAAGAAGTCTGGGGCCCGTGATATTGAGAATCGGGTGGCTTTGCAGCAACAGAAACTTTCAGCACTGAGGCAAGAAGTTGACGATCTTCTTGAGTTTATTGATGAAATATAACACTAAAAATTTTGGTATTTTCTATTTGATATCCCAATTATCTCGTCAATAGATGTGAATTTTCTATTTGATATCGATTAACATAGAAATATGCGACAACAAGCCTTTCATTTTCTATTTCTAAAAAAATTATGCGTTTGAGAGTTTTTAATGAATAAATAGACAAAAAAAATTCCCTGACTGAAATTTTAGAGAGATATTGAAGCAAACCCTGTCAAGTTGCTTCTATATCTAAATAATTAGCACTAAAAACCATCTTTACATCGGATGGTTTGATGTTTAGATGATCCCTATCTTATAGATATTGATAGTGTTTACGAATATTTTGTTACTACTTTGAAAATGTCTAAGAAGCAATAATACAAATTAAATAATAATTAATCTATTTAAATTTAAATAGGAGTATTATTAAAAATTGTAATATCCACACTATCCATTATCATTCAGAGAACTACCCAAGGTATTATGGCAATTGCAATATCAAATTTCGTAGTTCCATTCAAAGAAGATGACAAAAATCAAACCCCATCCCATGCATGATGCTCCAAAAACAGATAAAATATCTTAAATTCAGAAATGTAAGCAAACAACTGGTGCCATAGAAGTTAGGGCTGGCCCAACACCACCACCCAGGGCTAATCAAAACTCAAAATCAACTCTCCCCGAATCCATTCTCATCTGCTTCTTGTACAGTTGCATCTCTCCCACTCTTAAAAGTATGAGTATCCTTTCAAATTCTTTGGTTTCATCCCCAAATCTACCAATCCAACTATCTTCTTCTGGTAATTGTTTTCCTTCCCCTTTTTTCATCTTTCTTTTCGTTGTTAATTCATTTTATTTTATTTTAAATGGAGCACGATTCAGCTTCTAAGCTCTAATGCATAATAAAATTTTGTTCTTTCTTGCTTAAGTCATCAGGTTTGTTTCAGTAGATGAAAATTTTTAGCTTTGATTAGTACTATTCTAGTCATTCACATGATTCTTTTTCCTTCTTTCAAGACCCTGTTTGATTTCGATTGCCCTAAACTGTACTTTTTATTTTTTTTATTTGTTATTATTGTTCTGTGAAAAAAGGAAGATATTAAAGCAGATTTCTTTTAAAATAATATAATCTTAGTTGTTTCCGTGAACTTTAATTCATTTTTCAATATTGAAGCTGTGGGAGGGTGGTAGAATAATTACGGCTGGCCTTTGTTTTTTCTTTTGTATCAATAAATATGGAGTTCTTAATTTTATTAGCATATTTCTTTAAAAAAATTGGTATCGTGTACCATTAAACCTGGGGAAATAATTGACTGAAAATGCTTTAAGCTAAAGATGAAAGAGAGATGTCGATTGACTCTTAGAACAGTTTGGAGCTTGTAGGTTCAAGCGCTTTTGCTTTAATATAAGCTTTTGGGGGACTATGGGTACTTTAAAAGATAGAGACTGGTAGGATGTGCTATAGTAGTACCTTGGTTGAAGAATTAACTGTTAGACTCGATGTTCGTGATTGTTCGTTTTAGTTCAGCAGCTCAGATCTTTTTTAACATTAATTCTAATCTCTATTGCATGTGTACACCAAAGTTGTATTACTCTTGTTCATTCCTTTCTCTGCTTCTTGTTTTTGTCTAGGCACACATCTAAAGACAGCAGATCAAAGCTTTGGGTCTGCTATTCCCGCAAACTTGTCATTCAATTCTAATCGTTTAGGAAAACTTCATCTTTCTACCTCTAGAAATCCAGTAACAGTTCGAGCTTCCTACAGGTATCATATTTGATCAAGTTTGGAGCACAGAGAGGCTTAATGGTTCGTATGCGTAGTCCTGTAACCATAAGCTACTGTTGAAAGCATTATCAACTAAATAATTAAGTTCTATGTCAATCCAACTTTAAAAAATATATATCTTGAAGTATCTATTTAGACACATTTGGGATTGGACGTGGAGACATGACACTCCAAGGACCCTCCAAATACTTGGAATTTTTTTTGAATATACCCGTCTTACACATTGTTATAACTGACGTCCGTATCTAAGTCCGAGTAACATAAGTTTGTATGCTTGTGTGTTATTCCCGTTTCCTCTTCTGTTGTGTTTTCGAATGTAATGTTGCAAACATTAAAATTACAGAAATACTCAGTGGGAGTCCTCTGCATCTTTTGTTCTTAGTGATAGTGAAAGGCCAAGCAGTGCAAGCATCTTTGTCGGTGGTTTTATTTTGGGAGGACTTGTGGTTGGTGCACTCGGATGTGTATTTGCTCCTCAGGTGATATTAGCATTCCAAATGGATACAAATTGCACTAAATAATTAACTGTTTTTCTTCTCAAGTAAAATGCCTCTATTTATATCATTCGGCTATGCTCCACAACTATAGTTCTGGTCTTAAATTGATCCTGATTTTTCTGTTTTCGATAATTAAAAACCTACGTTCCGGCACTATGGGAACTATTGTTTGTTTGACCTTTTGTACATCTGTAGTATTAATTTTCATGACTTATTTGATGATTGATTTGGGTTTCCTTCAATAGATCAGCAAGGCACTAGCTGGAGCTGATAGAAAGGATCAAATGAAGAGACTGCCTAAATTCATATATGATGAAGAAAAAGCTTTGGAGGTAACCCCAAAACCCCTTTTTTATTTGTCTGTAATTATTGGCTTCCAAGGATTAGGGAATGGCCTGCATATCCGAGTGCTTCGGAATTAAAGCGCCAGTGATTACTTTACTTAATAAAATGTTTACCCTAAAGTTTATAGGTTTTAGTTTAAAGAAGAATGATAGTAATTGGGTTTTGTTGTGCAGAAAACACGGAAGATACTGACCGAGAAGATTGCTCAGCTGAACTCTGCTATTGATGACGTTTCCGCTCAGCTTCGATCCGAAGATGCCCCGAATGGAATTACTGTAAACAGTGATGAAATTGAACCTGCCATATGAACGAACTACATTGCTATATTATTCAGATGCTGGTTTAACACTTCAACTGGTATTATTATATCCTTGATATGAAATAATATGTGAATCTATTGTAATTGTCCTGTTTTCCGGTAAACACTGTAACACTGCCTCTTCAATATGTTATATACTACCCTTCTTCCTTCAAATTTCAAACGTCAAAATGATATTAGATATTAGAGAGTTTGGTAATGGAGTGTCGTCGAGTATTGTTAATTTGCGAGGGTGTTCCTTTTCACGCATGGAATTGGGATACTTTCAAGAACATTGTTGATAAGTGGGGTTTATTACTAGCTATCGACGAAAGTTGTCAGTCTCCATCATCTTTTGATCGGGTAAAAATTCAAGTCTCATAAAGGCTGATGCGAGAATTGATGCGAGGTGGAATTGAAGGTTGGTGACAACTTCTTCAAGGTCATGGTGCATGAGATAGAGCCTTCATTCAAACCAAACTCTTGGGCTCCTGAAGAATACGAGTCTCATTAGATCTTGTCTCTTCAATTGTGGTTTTGTTTTTATCTATATGGTTGTAGGTATTGCTTTTAATTTGTATTATGTTTTGTTGCGTTGTTTTAATCCTACTGCTAGTGGTGTAATTAGAAGGTGATTAGATTGTGGCTTTGGATGAGGTTATATAGGGTTAAGGTGTTTGTTGTAATGGTGTACATCACCATGAGAGGATATTCCGTGGTGTCTTTTGTATCGGGTATTATTATCAATAAAATTTGAGGTATTCTTTTCTTCCTTCCAATGTTCGTTAACATACTTTTAGTATGTGAACGAATACGAAGGGAGTTTTTAATGAGACTTCCAACTTCTATAAAAAAAAAAAATCTGAATCTTCAGTTCTTCACCACCATCTAAAATGTTATCTCAAACCCAGTTTTTATTCTGAAAATTTCGTTTGTGGTCATTTTGAAAAAAATTAAAATAGTGCAAGGGCACTTTGGGGAAAATTAAACATGCATTCATCACATGTCTATTAAACACGTTGAACCGTTATACCTATGTGGCATATACTTATTCATGACGACATAATAAACTTAGGTTTAGTCTTAGAATTAACTAAATATAGACTCTGATATGAATAAATGTATTACTTTTAATCAAGTTTAGTTAAAAATCGAGTCGATAATGTCTAATTAGAATTTAGACGTAGCTGAAACTGAGCTAAATTTGACAAATTACAAAACACATCAATTATGAAGGTCATAATGCATCAGATTTTATGAGGGATCCAACGGCTAGGAAGTTAGGGACGCAACTAACCGGTAAACCAAGAGTTCCCACCAATTATTAAAAGCCACAAACGCCATCTTCGGCACGCGACTGCTTATTAGATCCACCGGATTACCGTGAATCCCCGGTTGCCATCCACTTTACCATTAGCAACAAAGAACAAACAACAGCTGCACCAATTTTTTACCTTTGTTTTTTCATTCCTCATTTCTGCTCTCTGTTTCCTTTGGATAAACTTACCCAGAAAAAAAAAGCGCTAAAAAAAGGGCATAGGCAAAGCACAAAGAGACCCTTTGTGAGGATTTCGCTTATTTTCTCTCCAGTTCTGATCTGGGGGTTCTTTTTTCTTTTGAAGAAATTCTTGCAACAGCTTTGAGTGACTACAAAAATCCAAATTTTAGGTTGTCTGTTGGATAGCTTGATTCAAAGGTAATTGAAGGCTTAGGCTTATTTATCCTATAAAGTTTGAATTTTTCTTTCTCTTGATTCCATCTGGGTTAGGTTAGTTTGATCTCGAAGTTTACTCAGGTTCTTGATATTTTTAGAACTATTACATCTTTACACAGTGAATTGGTTTTCTCAGATTTCTGAATTGTTGCCAAGGAACCCTGATGCACAAAGTATAAGATTCCTTTAGGTTGGGATTTCGTCAGGCATTTGATTGCTTGGATTATTTTATCTGTGTGGTAAGAAACTTGAGTTTGGCTATATTTGAATCTTCAAGCTTGATTTGAAGGATCCCTGATACGCTGCATCAGGATTTGGTTGGGTTCGGAACCTTTTGCCTTGAGAATTCTAGAAAAAAGGATTGCTATTTAGAACTTGAAAGGGTTTGTTCGATATCTTTAATTTATGGTCGGGAAAGGAATATGGCGGCGGATATGGATTTTACACCTCCATGTGGAATCATAGAAGATAGTTATAGTAAGGATAATGGATCAGATATAAAAGTGAGACTTTGGATTATGTAAAACGAGTCTCCCTTGGTAAACCTCCCCGCCACCTCTCGGGTATGCACAATTCCACATTGGTTCGGCGAAGTTGATTGCGGAGGTTAATTTGGTATGTTTGATCTCTTCTGATCCCTCTTCGATCCTTATTGAATATCATGGGCCTGCCTGATCTTTAAGGACTTTCTAAATGAACATAAAATCTTAACGGTTGTCATAAGGCTTATTAATTAGTTTTGAATTACTTAGAAAATTTACATGTAGTTGTAATCCATTCCAATCCTGATGATCTAGGTCTGTTTTGCTCATAGAAACCTGCTGACATTTTTTGGAATAAATGATATCATCTTGAAGTATTCATAAGGCCTAGCTGATCTGCATTGGTGCTGTGTAAACTTCCATCACTTTCTCTAATCTGACTGAGATTTTTGGAGAAGGGTTGTATTTTGTTCAGAAAAATTCTATAACTGTTTGTATTTTGTTGAAACATGTCATCTTGAGCATGATTTTAAATTGATTTAGTTTGATGTTTTGTTGGATCATTAATTCAGAAGTGGCTGAAGATTGAATCAGATTTAGCAATTTCATTCCACTTGTTTAACTTGTACCTGCTAGATTTGTTCCCTTCCTTTTCTCTCGCATTTCTTTTTCCTCCTCCAGGAATTGGATATTGGTATTAGAGTCCACAAGTCAACTTCTAATGAAAAGAACTAGTTTTTGCCCATGCTACGATCAGGAAGTTGTGCTGAAATGGGACCCAAACAGTATATGGAGGATGAACACATTTGCATAGATGATCTTATTGGACATTTGGGGACAACTGCCGAGGGTCCTTCTCCTGGAGCTTTCTACGGGGTATGATCATGTTAGAATCTTCCATATATCTGACAAGGGTGTTTCATACATAATCTTTTACCGAACCTCTTCATTATCATTTCAAGTAGGGAATGTTATATAATGGCATTTAGTTTCTGCACCTCCTTCAGCTAGTCTATGTGGTATGTTTGTTAGTCGGTAAAAAACATGTTTCCTCATTGATATAGCTTCTGCCAATATCATTCTCTATATTTACCTTTGCGTGGTTAATATTGAAGAATGTTTAGCTGCGGTGTTTGGAGCACATTCCATTAAAAAAACAGTAGGGAATCTAGAGATTTTATCCAGGTCAAAAGGGGAAGGAGGGGGGGGGAGAAAGAAAAAAGGGAAGACGTAGGAACCATGTGCATTAGTTTCTTATGTTAACCTAACTTGGAGTATCTAGTATTATGTGTCCAACACGGTGTAATTAATGTTTTTTTCCAAGTTTTTCCATATATTTGGAGGACCATAGCCCTATAACCATGCCCGAATGTTACGTCATGCACAGGTTTCAAGGAAAATGAACAGTCTGGATAATATGGTTATCATCTCTGACATCATAAACTGCAGCTAGATCTTACGTTAGCAAAACCACAAGTTTTTTAAGTACAAAATCCTTTGTCCCTGATAGATATTACTTTATAGTAATTTTCTCCCTTTGATCTTCTTCCTTCTTTATTCTTTGCTACTTTGTGGTTAAGTTAAAGGTGTCTGGACATGTCAGTTCTATTATATGTTGTTGGTTCTTTCGTTTACAACTACCTTGAAAGGTGGCATTGGAGTCGTTCTCCATTACTCGTGAACTGATTCTTGCCAATGCACGTGGACAGGTTTTTGATGGTCACGGAGGAACAGATGCAGCCTTATTAGGAAAAATATCCTTAAATTCATAATTGAAGACTCACATTTTCCAATTTGTGTGGAGATGGCAATCAAGAGTGCTTTTCTAAGAGCTGATTATTCATTTGCAGATGCTAGTTCTCTTGATATATCCTCCGGCACCACTGCATTAATTGCACTTATTTTCGAAAGGTTAGTTAACAACAGATCTGCACCGGTAATTTTCCTTTTAGAAGAATGGCATGGGAAGGTCTTTCATTGAAACAAGACATGGTATATTACATTTATTATTTTTTCCTTCATCGAGTCGTGACACGAAAAGGTCTGCATTAAAACAAGCATGGTAAACTACATTTATTGGTTTCATTCAAAAGGTTAGATGTAAGGAATATTTAGAAAAATGAAGACAAAAAGCTAATGATTCAAAGCGTATTCTTCTAACATTACAAGCAATTCTGTAAAAATTCAAGTAGGTTAAAACTTGTATACAATGTTAACTGGGAATATTTTAAGCATCTGACAGGTTATGTTAGTTTACAAGTCGAACCTGAAGTCATTTACGAAGCCATTATGTTGTATTGAGAAAGCAAGGATTTGGCTACCTCTAAGACTCTAACATTACTTTCTCTTCACAGGACCTTATTAATTGCAAAAGCGGGGGATTGTCGAGCTGTGTTTGGAAGGCGGGGTAGAGCAGTAGAAATGTCCGAGGACCACAAACCTAATTGCACGTCTGAGAGACTAAGAATTGAGAAGCTTGGCGGAGTAATTTATGTTGGCTACCTCAATGGTCAATTATCTGTGGCACGAGCACTCGGAGATTGGCACATGAAGGGGCCAAAAGGATCTGCCTATCCTTTAAGTGCAGAGCCGGAGTTGCAGGAGTCAGAGTTAAGTGAGGAGGATGAATTCTTGATAATGGGATGTGATGGGCTGTGGGATGTTATGAGCAGCCAGTGTGCTGTGACTATGGCAAGGAAGGAGCTGATGTTTCATAATGATCCCGAAAGATGTTCGAGAGAGCTTGTCAGGGAAGAACTGAAACACAACACTTGCGATAATTTAACGGTAATCGTGGTTTGCTTCTCCTCTGACCCTCCGCCACGAAAAGAAATACCCCAGTTCTGTGTTCGGAAGAGCATATCGGCGGAAGGGCTGAATTTTCTAAAGGGTGTGCTGGATGGAAACTGATTAAAAAGTCGATAGAAGGAAGAGGGGTTGTGCATAAAGACATCGGAGGGCAAAACGGTGGTGACATTTTTCTCCCAAGTAGCTGTGGAGGCTGCAGGCTAACATCCATCAACGTTAAAGGACATGCTTATCATTTAGCGTGTGATTTTTACGAGTTATTAAATCCTGTACATCTGAGATAACTCGGTGTTGTCTTGTACGGTTGTACGGATTGGCAGGATTCGATGTTCGACCTTTTTTTTCCTTTTGTTCCTTCGTCTGCTTAAAGGCTCAGTTTTTTTTCTTTGTTCCTTCGTCTGCTTACTTCTGTCCTGTGTAAATAAACTGAGCCTTGAGAGATATGTTGAAGCAGTTTTTAGTTAATTAAATAATTGCTATCATTGGCCATTGAAAAACTAGTTCATAACATTTTTCAAATAGTTATTTTTAAGAAATAAATCATATCGTAACATTTACAACATTCACAATTAGGATACCATAATCACAATTACAACTGTGACTACAACAGTTACGAGTGAAGGAGGTATTTACGGCTGATTTAGTCCAATAAAAATAATGGGTTTTTCATGATTTTGTAGTTAGACAAATATTATATTAAAAATAACGAAAAATGTAATTTTATCTTTTAAGTATGTTTTAACTTTTAAACTACATGTAAAAATTATTTATCCATCTCCATTCACCAAAATCACATTTGAAATAAATTTCTTAGAAATTGATAAATTTTATCACGTTGAACATCTTTAAAAAGTTTGTTTGTTTACTTCAGAATTATTAAGTACTGAATGATTCAAATGCTGAATAATTCAGAGGCTCTGTATGAATTAACTCTGAATGTGACATGTTGTTTGATAATGACTCTGAATCATTCAGAATGTATTTTTGTTCTGAATCATTCAGAGGTGCGAAACAAACGCGTTGAATGCTAAATCGTTCAGCATTCAGCGCTAAATGATTTCATTAAGAGGCAAACAAACAACCCGAACTTTACATTAATGTTTTATTGAAATGTGTCTTTCATAAAAAAAACTTTTTAAAGTAAAGTGGAAAAAACATAATTTTTTAATTTCAATTGTTTCACATTACTCTAAAAAATATATGAAGATTAAAATATTTATTTTAAATATGATATTGGAAAATAAAAATAAGTTAATTTAAATTATATTTGAATTCTTAATAATGTGAAATAAAAAAAACTAAATATTTTTAAAAAATTAATATAAATTATTTGCAAAAAAATAATTTTAATATATTTCATATATAAATCGCATACAAACATAATCCTTATAAATTTCAAATATATAGTCTTATATAAATTTTAAAACAAAGGAAGTAATTTTATACCAAACATGAACTCAAAAGAAACATATACTTAATGTTCGTAATTCGAAGTGAATTGTATATTTAGTATAATTGAGGATCTGATATAAATGAGAGGGTAATTCGTAGTTTTTTTTAGGTATAATGTAAAATGTTTGATTAATTTTTTTCTTTCCTGGTTCCAAGGCTGTATTGATTAATCCAGATCGACCCACGTTGCACAGTTGATACTGGTAGGTGAGTCTCCCATTTATGCATATGCAAGGACTCGAACTTAAAATCTTGCTTAAGCGATATCAAACTGCTTAACATTTAAACCGCTAAATAATTAATTTAATCATATATTTTTTGAGTATTATTGCTCTCGACATTACATTTTAGGAATAAGGGCCCTAATGTTGGACTAAATAGTCACTTTAACTCTTATTTTTTTTGTTGGAGGCCTCAAATATTTCATTTTAAGGTAAAAAGACCTATATTTTGGAGTGTTAACATTTATTGACTAAATTTTTTAGTCTAGGGAGGAGTTTTTTGTCTCAAAAAGAAATATTAAGTATCAAAATATTCTACCAACAATTAGTTGATCTAGTGAGATGAGATACTAGATTTTTTAAGCAAAGTCAGGAGTTCGAACCTTGACATTTGCGATTAGAGTAAACTGGAATGGGATAGTTGCCCACGGCCCTACAGTACACACTCTATAAAAGTAGAGGTCAAAATAATTATTTAATCAAATATATATATTTGTACTATGCCTTTCTTTTAATGCCGAAAGAAATAAATGAATTGGGCTGCGATTAAGCCGGATCAGGCCTGATACATCTCAAACCATTGATTCGGGGCGGTGGCACAACATTTCACCTATTTAGCCCAATGCCCAACTAGGTGTTAGTAAAGTCGTTCGATTAAAAAAATTAAATTTTTAACCAACAACCAGTTGGTCTAGTAGGATGAGACACTAGATCCTTTAAGCAAGGTCAAAGGTTCGAATTCTGACATTTACGAATGGAGGAAATTGGTTTGGGAGGGTCGCCCTCGCCTCTGCGGTACTAGGTCTGAATTAGTCGGTCAATAATCGAATACCAATGATTAATTAAAAAAATTAAAATTTTGACTCAATTCAATAAAAATAAATTTGACTCAATTCCATACTATTCATGATTTTATATATTTAATTAGTAAAAATTTTAAATTCAAGTCGAGTTTTAAAATAAAATTTGAATAACTCAAATAATTCCAAATTTTTAATAATTATGAGATTAATTTTCAAGTTTGTGTCGGATATCTTAATTCTCAATGATATATATAATATATGAAAAAAATGAAGATATATATATATATCGATAATAGAAGACAATTAAAATTAAATAGTATCTTAATATTATAAATATTTATAATTAAATTTAAATAGATTTCGAATAACCTGATCTAACCCAAATTTTATAAAATCAACCTAATTCAAAATTTTTAAATAAAATTTGAATTATACAAACCCGGGAGTCACGAAGCCAATAAGATGAAAGCACACGGATCAATTACGTGGCCTGGAAGTCCCAAATCCCGCCTAAACCCCCTAATTCTCATTTCGGATGCAATTGAATTTCAATTTCCCCCCCAACTTGATAATATATCCGCCTTTCGAGTTTCGGCCCCTCATTTCTCAACATACATCCCTCTATTTCTATCGCTCTTTTATTCCCTATGCCCATCTCTCTTCCCTCTCTTCCTTTAACCCTAACCCTACAGCTTACTACCAGGTATTTTCCCTTCGATTCTAATTGTCTTCAACGAGTTTTTACGTTTAAAAAATAATAATAATTTCACTGCTAATTTGCGATTTTAATTGCAGGATTCAACATGAAAGGAGGTAAATCCAAGTCGGATACAAAGAGGGCTAAGTAAGCCTTATATCCTTTTTATATTTTCGTTTTTTTTGTCGCTTCTTTAGATCGCGTCTTTTAAGAGCTCCGATTATGATGTGGATTTACGTTTCACATTATTTTGATTTTATTTTTTCATTGATTCGCTAACAGGCTCTCCGTGAGTGAGAAATCAACCAAGAAGGCTGGAAAGAAATTAGGGAAGGCAGCTCAGGATCCAAATAAGCCAAAGAGACCTGCTAGCGCCTTCTTCGTTTTCATGTAATCATTCACGAATCCCTGTTTCTTAATGTTTTTGGTTTATTGCGTTTGCTTCGTGCAAAACTCTCGCGTTTATATTGAAGAGGTGAATTGAACTATTCTTCTTATGGTCAAAGCAAAGTTGATTTTCGATGACGATTTTGCTGATTTACCTTCATATTTTATGTAATTTGTTAATGCTGGTTTCGTGATTCAAGGGAGGAATTCCGCGAGAAATACAAGAAGGAGCATCCTAAAAACAAATCCGTTGCTGCAGTAAGTTTGGACCATAATTTTCATGTTTTCTTACGGGTTTCAATTTTTTTGCTTTTAGTTTTGTTTATCTTAATATCTCTGTTTGGTTTCAAATTCAGGTTGGCAAAGGTGGTGGAGATAAATGGAAGAGTCTGTCGGAAGCTGCAAGTATTTTGCTCTTTTCAGCGTTGACTTTTTTAATTTAACATTGATGGTTATAGGAAAAACGACCATATGTTGAAAAGGCAGAGAAGCGGAAAGTTGAGTATGAAAAGAACATGAAATCCTACAGTAAGAGACAGGTAATTTGATGTTATCTTTGAAGTTACTCTTTTGTTAGATATTTGTTTAATGGTATAAAAGCTAATGATCCCTTTCGGATTAATATTAGGCTGAGTGTCTCAAAAATGAAGACGTAGAGTCTGAGAAGTCTGTGTCCGAGGTGAATGATAAAGAAGAAGATGATGATGAAGGCAGCGGAGATGTGAGTTTTGCAATTTGTTTCAGTTTGGTGTTGTTACTAATCTTATAGTTTATTTGGAACTCTAGTGAATTGGGTCTGTTTCTTTTTTGAAATGCAGGAAGATGATGATTAGGAAGATCCGGTGGGGGTAGCATAATCAAAGTAGGCTATGATAGTGTTTGATCATCTCATGTTAATGCTTTTAAATGCATATTTCGTTTAAGGAAAATGTAACTCTGAATCTTGTTTGTTTCTTTTGACATTTTGAAATTGAAAGTTGTAGATGGGAAATTTGCTGCTATATGTATTTTACATCTAAAGTCTTAAGATAGGTTAATCCTTTTTTTAGAGAATTTAGTCCCTCTTTTAGGCTTTGTCGGTCTCCAAATTTATTTTATTTCAATTTTAGTAGACTTGTAGATAACCTAATTAAATATAGTAAGTGGCGTGAAAATTATAATTTCGTAATTAAACTTCCATAATGTTTTGAATTTTGTTGATTTTATTAATTTTGGAAAGTGTTGATCTATTTATAAAAATCATATTTCTTGATTGTAAAAGGACGTGTCCAATGATAAATCTACTAGTATTAAATTTATAAAATTTCGTCAAAATGAATAAGAGCTTGATAATGACATTTAGGGTGAAAATGATTGAATAATTTTCAGAACAGGTTGATGGGTGGCGTAAGAGAGCGTTATAACAGTAGGCCCATGAATATATTTTTGATAGAAAGTTAATAGTGGATCTGTACCCCGTTTCTGCCATGAAGATTAAGTCGAAGTCCTACTCGCCCTCCCTCTAACAGGTTTTATCTCAATAACTCCTTTTATTTTTCGTACTGAATCTGCTTGTCTATTATTCCCACCTGGAACTCGCTAACTGCAATTTCAATTTTGGTTTTCGTTATCCCGATAATTTAATTTCAAGGTTTAGGGTTCTTTCATATATTATGCGGATTTGGGGAATCTTTAAAGGCTGATGAGCCAATAGTTGTTTGTAGTTGGGTTATCTTCCTTTTGATTCGCTGGGAATGAGTCGTTAGTGTCCCATAGTAAACCTTGGTGCTTTTGAGGTGCCTTCCGTACAATCTAACCATATAATGATTTCAGATTGGTGATTTTGGCTTTTGATTTTCCAGCTATATATAAAAATCCACATATAACACTAATGCAATATTTTCAATGTCATGACATATATGTGTGTGTAATACAGTCTTTTGGTTGTCATGATTATCTTGGGAAATTTACTCTTTGGTGTTTTGAAATTGCAAGTGGTGAGATTATTATCTAGTCCGTGTAAAATGTTGTTTTTACTTATGACATTTTAATTGTGATGCAAAGTTAGGGCACATGATGTCTACACTTGATCTCTGAACTTCAGGTAAGTTCATATGTTGAGAAGCATATGTGCTGATGCTCTTTCCTTGCACCACATATTACATTTAAACATTTTCTTCCGTCTTCCTAAACCTTTTTTTTCCTCTCCCTCACTACTAGAACTGAAATCAGTGATCTGCTTTGTGCTGTGTCTTAGTGTTCAAACTAACAATAAAATTCACAGATACACTCTCCAATGATCACTCTGATATAGGTCTAGGATGTAACAAACCCGTCGAATACTCCATCCCCACCTTGTCTTATTGGCACACAAGACAACTAATTACATAGGCTTCATCATCATTTCCCATAAGTGGCTAGTGATAACGGTTCATGATGAGTGATAAAGTTTGATGCATCCTTGAATGGCCAACCTATTTGGAATTATGTAACTCATATGATCTTGCGTAGTTTTTCGTGTTGAGGTACATAATGACGACTAATTTAACATAATATCATATGTTGGTACTTTGGACACAATAATTTAACATGATGAGTAATAACTCACGACACAATAATTTGTATCATTTTCTTTATTTCTTTATTATTTTTTGTGATAGTCAATATTAACTTTTTTATAGCAGTAATTTTTGCCAACATTAAGTACAACCAGATTATTCTCAAAATTCAAGATAATTAAAATTCTGAAATTAAGGCCTATTTTTAAAGCTTGGGATGTTCTAAATGACAATACAATAACCATTGATGAATTTTCAAACATAAGGTCATATTGACAGTTTTTGTCCTGTTATGTAGTTACTGCAATATATATAACTCATGTTGGCTGATTTTGTCAATTAAAAAGGTTTGATTCTAAATTAAAAATGTTCCAGATTATTTTAGGGTAAACAACTTATCTGATCACCCACCTATTAGTTAGTTTCTGTTTTGATCAGTTAACTATTGTGTTTTATTAAATCATGCTTAATGTTGTGTTTTAGTTCTATTTTAGCTATTTTAGTCACCCATTGTTAAAAGACTAATAGTGATACTAATGTATTACATTAAGGTAATGTCCCATTAGCATTGAAAATAATAAAAAATATCATGTCAGCATCACTATTAATTTTTTAATTGTGGATGACTAAAATAGAAACAAAATATAATGTTAGTTATAATTTTGAAAAAAAAGAGTTGGATTACTAAAATGGAAACTAAATAATAAGTGGATGACCAAATAGGTAGTTTACCCTTTATTTTATTAAGAATTAGAGGTTTTTTCAATGTGAATGTGAAGGAAAAGCTTGTTCCTTTGTCTTCGACAAATTTACAATGTGTGCGTGTGTTTTTTCAAAAAGAAAAAGTTTGATTGGTAATTGGGGATAGCCAACAACATTATGTGGAGTTCCCAAATTTCCAACCTACTTCATTAATTGTTTGTAGACTGAACCCATCATAATCCAAACAGCTAGGATCCATCACATTGGCATTTATTTTGAAACGTTAGCTAACTAAATTAACAAACAAACAAAGACCTATGAAATTGTATAGGTAATTTTAGTGTGCGATAATCTAAATTAAGATAATTTTGATCTAAAATGTTATTATATTCAATCTAGAAAGTTATATAAATTTATAAAATTTTTCAGTTGCAACTGAAAGTTATATTACCAATAGGGATGAGTCAAAATTTCAATTTGAAGAGGGAAAACATAACTTTTCTAAAATTAGGAGAATAATTTCATAATATTGCATAAATACTTAAATTATATATAAATTAAATGTTTTTTCTTGGGTTGGGGGACTACAGTCCCATCTTTGATTACGAGGATTTAAGGCTTACAATAAAAAAAAGTTATGAAAAATGTTATATATAAATTATCGATGGTTTTTTTTTGGAAGGAGCGTTGGAAATTTTCTAAGGTTGAAAAATTGCAATTTCTTAATTGAATTAAAAAGAGAGTGGTTGAATTTGATGAAGAGGACCACAATCATCACGCATTTTTCTACAGTGAAGAGAAATGCGTGGTAACAACACGTCCTTTTCCATTATTTCTTCCTTTCACATTTTAAAGGCACGCTCAAAACTTTCTTGACTCGCGTCATTCGTACGGCTAAGCAAGTTTACGTTTATACAAAAATATAAGCTCTGCTCCAATGGCGGAATTTGGAGAAAGGGTCTATTTCAAAAAAAACTTTAAATTATTTTTTTTAAAGTTGAAAGGTTTATTTTAAATTCTTTAAATTATTATTAGAGGTTTAAATAAAAATTAATGGCTTAATGGTATTTGAGAATCTTAAACTTTTCCAAAAAAAAAAATTTATATTGGTCATCGTATTATTTTTGCACTTAATGTGACCCAAAAATTCAGAAAAAATAATTATAGAATGAATGGAGTATTTTTAATTTTTTTTTAATAATTTATAAATTTTCATTTCATAGATTGTGATATATTTTTAATAGTATTTTCAATATATATATATATTTAGTAATTTAATTTTTTAATTTTTTAATATTTTTTTTTTTCTTAAAAATTAAATACACGCTTAAATTTAAAAAAAAACTAATTTAACCTTTTAGCTAAAAAAACCAATTTATTTCATTTGTCACAACATTGACCATTGTGGAATGTCATGTCAGTATCGTAGACCGCCATATCAACATATAGAATTATCACAATAGAGGTCAAGGACAAAATCGATGGTTAAATGTCCACATTAGGCTCTTTTTTCTGAGTTCGAGGGTTATATTGAGTGCAAAAGTAGTTTGAGGATCACAATGATTTTTTGAAAAAGTTTAAGGACCTCAAATACCATTAAATCAAAATTGAGATTTAATGAGAATTTTTAAATTTTTTAAGAAGGGGCTTAGTTAAAAACATCAAAAATTTTGAAACATATAAGAATTTCTGAAACTTTTTAAGATGCTAAACTAAAATTTTTGAAGGATTATATATTAGTTTTCCCAAATTTTGGGGCCAGCCCCTCTAACCCCCTGCCCTCTCTTGATTTTGATCGATGTTCATGTCCTCTCTATTCCAACATTAAGTTTAATTTTGGCTTATATATTAAAAAAGATCCTTAAACTACTATGATTTATTTAAACAAGCCCTTATAATATTTTTCACCTAAATAAACCCCTATTCTTTAATGTTCATTCATAGAAATCCTTGATTTAATTAGGTGACACCTTTTTTATATTATTTGAATCATATCTCAACCTATTGGTCGTAGAAGATTTAATATAAATCTCTAATCATACAATCATACGATCCAAACAATCTCAGTAGTAAATGAATTGTTGTTATTGTTAGAATCCATCATCTCTAAGAAGAACAATACTCCCTTTAACCACTGAAGCTGTTTGATGAGTTTATATTAAAATTTCAAACTATCAACTAACATTATAGTTTTAATTAATTAATTTACTAGTATTAGTATATTTAATAAATAAATTAATGACAAAGCTAGAATTAGTCTTGCTGGACGAGGTCTTGGGAAGTGGATGATGCCCCCAAACGTGTATTTGAAATTGTCAAAAGCTCTCAATGATACACGTTGACGACTCATTGTTTCCCACTTTTTATTTCTTTATCTAATATATATATTCTTAATTAATTAATTAATTGCATTTGATTTTCTTATCATTGAGAAAAAAATAGACCGCATCGTTGTAATCGTCAAAGGATCATTCGTTAGCTACATGTCCATCACTTTTATTTTGTTTTGGCCATCCAACTATTTTTTTTAAATCATACATAATGTTACGTTTTGGTTTTATTTTAGTCACTCACCGTTAAAAAATTAACGGTGATTTGAAATTTTTTTTAAAGATGTCACATCAATATTTTTATTTGTTTTTTAACGATAGGTGACCAAAATAAATCCAAAATGTAACATTAAGTATGATTTTGAAAAAGATAACAGTTGAGTGACCAAAACGAAACAAAAGTGATAGTTAAGGTACTAAACATGTAGTTTATCCATTTTGTTAAAATGGGGTTTAGGTGGATTAGATGTGCAATACAATAAATAAATAAATAAAATTAGGTTAGACCTATATTCAGAGTTGTATAGTATAATTTAATGATTAAATGTCGTATCCTTATAGAATGTGTTATGGGTTCAAATTCCTCTCATTTAACATTTATCAGTAATTAGTTGAATTAGAGAGACAATATATTAGATTTTTTAAGTAAAATTAGGGGTTCGAATCTTAATGTTAATAATAAAATAAATTAGATTAGGATTTAGGAGAATTTCCTTATAATAAATCTTTATGATACCCAATCTAGACTAATCAATAATGATTATTAATCCAAATTTATCTAGAGAGTGAACCACCTTTATATGTTTACAAAATTATCTCTATATTATTTATATAAATTTTAATATTTTTAAAAAATAAAACTATATACTTAAGGGTAAATTACGTATTTAGTCACATACCTATTTTTACGATTTCGTTTTGGTTATTTGTCGTTAAACAATAAACAGAGGGACAATTTTTTTAATAATGACATGACATTATTTTATGGTGACATGTCAACACCACCGTTTTTTTACAACCAGTATCAAAATGGAACCAAAATGTAATATTAGGTATGATTTTGAAAAACAAAATAGTTTAGTGATCGTAATGGAACCAAGGAAATGGCAAGCAACCAAAAACACAGTTAACCCTATTTAAAGACTGAACCCATCAACTCTCAAGTGATTCTTGTTTTCATTCTACCTTATGATAACATGTCATCATCACCGTTTTTTTTTAACGAGTATCAAAACAGAACCAAAACGTAATATTAATAATGATTTTGAAAAATAAAATAGTAAGTGATCATAATGAAACAAAGAAAATAGGTGAGTGACTAAATACATAGTTAATCCTATTTAAAGACAGGCCCCATCAACTCTCAGGTGATTCTCGTTTTCCTTCTTTTTTTCATGTATACATGCAATGCAACTATGCAAGACAAGGCTAGATATCCTCTTGCGTAGTCCTCGTTCATATATAATCACAATAGGATATTCTTTCTCAAAACAAATTTGCCGAAATAAATTTTATTTATATTGTGGTAAATAAAAATAATAAAATCAGATTTTTTATACAATAAAATTATGCAAAATAAATTCATATGCTACAATTAAATTACCCAATACAATATATAATACAAGTTATATCATTATTTTGGGGTAAAAAGACCTATACGTGAATAAAAATTATTAATCCGCAAACAAACAATTCTTTAAAATAGGGGTTTTTACTCTAAAATAAAAGGTTGGGGGGCCAAAATGATCAAAAAAGAACCAGAGCTAAAATAACTATTTAGTTAAACATTATAGGTATTTTTCTTTTAAAATGAAACGTTAGGGGTTAAAATGCTTTAAAACAAAGAATATGTGTTAAAATGACTATTTAATCAAACGTTAAAGGATATTTTTTTTATACTTTATCTTATTTAAATTATAATACACTAATCTTAGTTTTAATTAATATTACATTTCGGCATCAATATTAAAAAAATATTTTCCCACCATTGTGAAAACAATCTACTGCCACTTTATTAGAAAAATATATTCTAGATGATGTTTAGTGACTTAGTTGAGCAATACAATGAATGGATGATGAGTATGGGTATGTGCCATCAATGCTATGAAATGAAGAAGAAATTCAGTATCGATGCTGAATATCATACAAGAAACTTCATGCACTTTTCTTATTGAAATGTAAAGAACAGTGCCTACACAATACAATTCCTCTACTATTTAAAGCATGCACCTCTCCGTACAGTTACATGTAGACTCATAACCGTGTAACAACCTTACAGCTGGTCATCATTTACCCTGGTCAATCCATAAACGCCTATCAGCACTCTCTGCAGTCTGCACTACAATAGAGCCAATGATAGGGGCATGGAGAGGTCGGGTGGAAATAATTATCGCTTTGAAAAATTAAAACTTCTATCTCATCCACAAATCTCAAGGCTTCGGCCGGAATTTGCAGTTGACTTCGTCTACCCTCCTTCCTTCCTTATTCCGTTTAATTGTTTTTCTATTGCTGCCGCACATGAATCCTTTAGCAGGCTTTGCATCAATACACTATTAATGTATAGATTTGTATATTAATATAAATAGCTTAGTACAAATTCTTAAATACAAATATAAATAATTATTTTTTAATAATAAATGGATTGTTTTTCTTTTTATTATAACGGCGTTTTATACCTTTAGCCTATAACAAACATTTTATAATTCTCTTGGTTCAATGATTTAGCACATTTAGAGGTAAGGCTCTAAATGGGAGGACTAGAGTCTAAGTATTATTGAGTTTGGTTCGACTCTAAAAATTTAAAGTAGAATTTGATTTAATTGAAAAACTCGTGAGTTTAAAATTGTCAAATTCGACTCGAAGTTGAAATCAAAAATTGAAGTTCGACTCAAACTTAAAAAATTGAACTCAAAACATTCTCAGACTTAGCTCGCTTCAAGCTAGAGCTCGAACCTAAACCTTAAGTATATGAAGACTTTATACTATATTTATTTTAAAAAAATAACAATATATAAATGTTAATATTATTAATAATTTAATTTAAAATTTAAATTTAAATATATTTTTTGAGTTATTCGTGAATTTTTCGAATTAAGTATTAAGTAATTCGTTCCGGCATGTTAAGAATTTGACCCGAATTAAATTTATTTGAATCAAATATTGACTAAATTTTAACTGAATCAAACTCGAATAATTTATGAACCGTCTCATCTCTTCTCAAGTAATTTAATCAATGGGAGTCGTTCAAGTGATAAGCAACTTAATATCACTTAAACAATTCTTAAATTTAAAATTTTATTATACAAAAAAAAATCTCTGCTGAAAACGGTTAAAGTCATGTGTACGTCATATAAACCAATTAGAGCAAACGTACGGAGAACCGAGAGGGGGAATAAAAAAAAGGGTAAGAAACTATAGAAAAGAGTATAAGAAGGGAGGTTGGAATGAGAGACATCGACACAGAGAGAGGGAAAGGGAGAGGGAGAGGGAGAGGGAAGAGAGGTGAGACCGAGGGCGAAGAGATATATTTTTGTTTGACGGAAACAAAAGAAAAGGTCCAATCAAAACACCAAGTCCCACATCGACACAATTGGTTGCTTCCTCCCTCTTTCTTTTCTTCCTCCTCCAAGAAATAAACATAAAAGGAAGTCAATACTCATCTCCCTTCCTATATCTAATTCAAAGAAAATATATCCAAATTGCAAACATAAAGACAGAGAGTTCTTATTATATCAGTTATGGGGAACTGCTTTGGAACCCAACAAGTTGATCACCATAGCCAGTCCACCATAAAGTCATCAACCCCAAGTACGTTCAGATTTCTCCCTACTTTCACTTTAATTTGTGATTGATTACACACATATATATGCAGAATCCACGAAGAAACTAAAAGACAGCAACCAAAATGGATCACTGCCGGTGCCGGCACCGACAACAAACAAAGAGAGCTGTGCCACTGAAGGAAGAAACAAGGAGGGTGGAAAGGTGGCCGTGCCCGAAAGCGGAAAGATTCTGATGAGCACCACCTTGAAAATATTCACTTTGGCAGAACTCAAGGCTGCCACCAGAAATTTCAAGCCGGCGACGGTGCTAGGTGAGGGCGGTTTCGGTAGAGTTTTCAAAGGTTGGGTCGATGAGAAAACCTATGCTCCTTCAAAAGTTGGCGTTGGCATGGCGGTCGCCGTCAAGAAATCAAATCCCGATAGCTCCCAAGGCTTGCGAGAATGGCAGGTATTTCTCTTTTTTTTTCTTTTTAAAGATAATTTACTTCCTTAGCAAATTAAATTAATTTAAGGAATCATATTTCATTTTATTTACCCTTAATAATAATGTTCAAGTATATATTTTACAACCACCACATTTTGAAAAATTGTTTGTAATAATTTCTTTAAAATAATTTATTAAAGTCCACAACAAGTCTTAATGCTGTATAAAAAATTTATTTAGTTATTTATCATTAAAATGTTTATTTTAATCTTATATTTTTTTAAAAAAAATTAATATTTTGATCTAAAATAATAAAATTATTATTAATTAATTTTAATATTTTAATTTAAAAATTCATAATGTCTATGTTAATTTAAAAATAATCAATAAGTGTTTTGTATAAAATAGTAATATATTCTCAATATTTTGAAAGCGAACAAATAAGAATGGTATAAACTATGTTAATCTTTTTATTTTCTTTTACATTGACTATTTTGTTGAAATTTCTTAATAATTATTTCCTTTTTTCAATTTTTATATTTTTTATTTAAAAAATTATGTATTATTTAGTGTTTAATATTTTTATTTTTATTTTAATCATTTTCTAACAAGAGATTTCATCAATATAGATAATTTTTATTTCTTCACTTTGTAAATGTACAAAGATTAAATTACACTTTCTTTAGAAGGATCAGTTTACTCAATTCTAAAAATAATAGTGACATAAATAATGTTAACTAAATATTAAAATCAACTAACAATTACTTTAACATTTTGAATCAACGTGTCAACTTTTCAAATGTATTTTATTATAATACAAAGACTTGTAATAGATTTCAACCAAAATAATTTATTATATTATGAAATATGAGTAATAAAAAATATTCATAAACATGAATGAAGAGTCATAAGTGTAAACACCGGCCTGGAGAGTTAATCTGTCTTCCCAAATATACGGCACCGTACTATTTTATGTATACTTATCTATGTTTTTTGTTTTCTGGCAATATTTTGGAAATAATATTAATAATTTGGCCTTTTTTTTTCTTTGAGTCGACCTAGCCTCTATATTAATTAGGGTCGGATACATGATTTTATGTTAAAAATAAATAAGTTTATAAAATTTTAAGAAGATGAAAATTTATAAAATTCTAATGTTTTTAATGAAAAACATATTAAAATTTTAAAATATATATTAATTTTAATTTTTTAAGAGAGCGATTACCCAACTCCGGTCCATCCTCAAAACAAATAATCCTTTTATTCTATATATAACGTACGGAGGATAATTATTGTCTCAGCAACATGTACTACTTTCTTAATGGAAGATAGTTGGAATTAATTATCCAAAAAAAAAGATAGTTGGAATTTTATTAACTTTAATTTATGGAAGTTTTAGGGTCACTAAATTGTTCATAAGTCCCTATAAACTATTGAATTATAAATGCATATATGACATAATTTGTATTATGACACTCTTAAAATGAAAAATATGATTTAATTATTTTAATAATATATAATGTAAAAAATGCTCTTAACGTTTGACTAAATGTCACTTTAGTCCTTATTTTTTTAAACGTTTTGGCCCTCAATGTTTTATATTGGGAGAAAAGGTTCCTATATAGATAGAAATCATTGGTAACAAACGGTTAAAGTTTTAAAATAGGAAGATTTAACCCTAAAATAAAACGTTTGGGGGTTAAAATACTAAAAAAATATGATCAAAATGACTATTTAATCGAGCGCTAGAGATATTTTTATTATAAAGTGCAATATTAGGAGTTAAAACACCTAAAAGAAAAATAAAAATTAAAGTAAATACTTAATCAAAAGTTTAAGAAATTTTTTAATATAACGTATTTTAAAGAATTTATAATTCAATTTGGGAGATTTGAGGTATGAAAATGATGTTGATTTTGATAGGCAGAGGTGAAATTTCTGGGCAAGTTCAGCCATCCAAACTTAGTAAAGTTGTTGGGATACTGTTGGGAGGAGAACCAGTTCCTCCTTGTCTACGAATACATGCAAAAGGGCAGCCTGGAAAACCACCTCTTCAGATGTAACTCATTTTCTGTCTTTTATTTTGTGGTATTGCAGAAACTTAAAGCTGTTTTTTTTTTATATACAAAACTGAAATTGCAGCAGGAGGAGCAGAGCCTCTTACATGGGGAATGCGGCTTAAAATAGCCATGGGGGTTGCCCAAGGCTTAACCTTTTTGCACACTTCAGAGAAGAGTGTTATCTACAGGGACTTCAAAGCCTCCAATATTTTACTGGATGGGGTAAATTCAAACCCACCTTCTCCGTTTTGGCTCTCTTTTAAGTTATATTTTTAATAGTAGGAGATAATTATAAAATATTATTTATTTAAATTTTTTTTAATCTATTAATAATACGTTCGCATATTGTAGACACGAACGGTTCTAAATTAGATTATACTTACAAAACTGATTTGACTGTTCCAGGACTACAACGCCAAACTTTCGGATTTTGGCTTGGCAAAGCTTGGCCCTATAGATGGCAATTCACATGTCACTACACGAGTTATGGGCACTTACGGTTATGCTGCTCCTGAGTATGTTGCCACGGGTAAATTACCAATCTTTCCTTTTAAATTCCCATCTACTCTTTTGCATTATGGAATAGCATATTGTCAAAAAATATCTCTTATGTTTAATTAAATAATTATTTTGATCATTAATTTTTTAGAGTATTTGAGTCTCTAATATTTCATTTTACGGAAAAAATATTTTTAATGTTTGATTAAATAGTCACTTTAACCCTTATTCTTTTTTTTGGAGCATTTTGATCCTCAATATTTTATTTTAGGATAAAAAATACTTATTTTGAAGTATTAATAGTTTGTTGACTAACATTTTCTATTCATAGAGAGATATTTTTACTCCAAAATAAAACGTTAGAGATAAAATACTCTAAAAAAGAATAGAAGTCAGAGTAATCATTTATTTAAATGTTCGGAACATTTTTTTGCCATTGTCTGTGGAGTAAGATTATAACTGACATTAGCATGTACAAAAATTTGTAGGTCATTTGTATGTTAAAAGTGATGTGTATGGTTTCGGGGTTGTGCTGTTGGAGATGTTAACGGGCCAAAGAGCCTTGGATACAAATCGACCCAATGGAGAGCACAATTTGGTAGAATGGGCTAAACATTCATTGACGGAAAAGAGAAAACTGAAGAAAATAATGGACCCAAAACTAGAAGAAAAGTACCCTATCAAAGCTGCATTGCAAGCCGGTGAGCTTATTTTAAAGTGTCTGGAATCTAATCCTAGAAGTCGTCCATCCATGGAAGAGGTGTTGGAGACACTACAAAAGATCAATGCCATCAAGGGGAATTCAAAAGAGAGTAGTAAAGGTAGCAAATCGAAGTCGAAGGCTAACGATAATCGGTCTCCAATGCATTCTAAATATGGTCGGAATACAAATAATCAACAGTTCTCCATGACTAGGTCGCATCGGTAGTTATTTGGTTCCGGCGATGTGCATGTGAATTGTGATAATTGTTGCTGCCGTCCTTTATGCGATCATGTTAATTTCATGAAATTCGATTCATGTATTAGGCATACACACACAGACACATATATTTAGCTCCTTTGTTTTTTAGTACTCGTGTATAGGCACATATTCAATTCCATTACAGGCGTACTTGAGGGCTAGTTTTATGTCAAAATCAAGAGCATGTGTTATTGTTAACCACAATGGAAATTTTCTTGTTTAAATATCAGCATTAAATAATCTAGAGTATGCATGTAAATTTCAGTATTAATAGACATCTTTAATCAATCAAGTTGTTCTCCAATTAAGTCATGCACAGCAGATATTATTACATATATTACATGAAGTTTCTCAAGAAAAGAAAATAGTGACAAATAACTCAACGTAAACTAAAAAAAATTCATAACGAAGCAAGCAATGCTATGTCCAAGAAATTAATTGATTGAATTTTGAAGTATTGTTATGCCTTCGGATACGGCTTTCGAAAATCTCCAATCCTTCGTTAGATTGGACTCATCGAAACTATCAATTTTTCACCGACTAAAGTCATTAGACAGACCTCTCCATCCACCAAAATCTACGACAGGTCTATATTCTCTGAACATAAGTTTCTAGTAAACTATAGTGTATAAACAAGATCTCTGACAAGCTCACGTGATATAGTAGAACAAAATTTAAGGCTTGAATATCATATCTACCTAGTATGCCGACCTACAAATAATCATAATGACCTTACGACTAGCACACACTAAAGGTCACTATAAATATCCTCAACAAAAACCCAAAAAGGGGACAACCCTCTTATATTATACCCCATCTTCATCTTCTTCGTTTCTCTCATACAGAGAAATATCAACTATCGGGTCGCGACTCTCTGCCTAAACTAGAAGGAGTAAACCGCCAATGACCAATGAGATAAGCTCGTTGTCATCAACAGTTGATGTGGTGAGCATGATGTCAGAACAATCCTTGAGCTTTCAGACATAGTTCTCGATTGTTTTGAAAAATTCTTTTAAAAGTTTTGATATTACAAAATTTTGATTATTTTAATAAACTTCATTCGTAGTACTCCAGAGGAGTGAGTTAGTCGAGTGTGCGTTCTTGATGCATGAGTGACCCAAGCCTCACTCGAGATACTTGACAAATATGGGTCAAATAGAATCACGTTCTTGATGCACGTGTGATCCGAGTCTCAACTAAAGTATCATTGTTAGTAGACTAGAAGGATGTGAGTTATCGAAGCTACGCGACTCTAGGCTACATCTTGTTGTCTTCTTGTGTGTTATAGATTGTATGCATTAATGGCATTACTTCTCAACCTATACTTGTTGGCATGCTTATTTGGTAGTATAGTAACAATATTTGTGTGACATTGACTTTGTTAGCTCAGTCAAAATATATTTTTGTTCGCATATTCCTAGGCAAATATCAAGGAGCACATCACTGAATCGAAGATTCTAGTCGCTTGTTGATCATAATACATCTTGATTTATTTGTAGAGGGTATGTATGCTCATTGACTTTAGGTCTACTTCAACCGTAACTGTATTTTTGCAAACTTATTATGGTTAGATAGTTTGTACTATTTGACGCTCCTTGTTTTGTAAACTTAACTATTACTTATATACTTTGATTATGGTGACTATGATTTACGTTCTGCGTAATTATAAAAAAATATTAGTTAATTCGATGATTTCGTGTGACACTCGAATCTTTCATATTAAAGTCGGATCATATTAGAGTGTTATATTTATGAAATCTATGAATCAAACTTTGACACTTTACCCGCCTCAGACATCAAGCTCTCAAGCTCCTATTGATTAGTTATCATAGTATCGAGCGTACACATTCATTGGATAGAATAATGATCATTCTGAAACGGTCGAGTATTAGCTTGATAATACTCTCAAGATTATTGAGAAGCAACTTCGGTGTTCGGATGAGCACACACTGAAATGTGCAATAGCCTTGATATCTTATGAGGCCCATAAATAGTGGGAGGCCATTCTATTAACCATCCCTGAAGAGAACATTTGTTAAAGAGTTCAATAACTAAAATTTGTGAGCAGTAATTACCTCACATAAAGAATATGAATATTATTCCATCTGAAATAGAGAGGTAAGACCGTCGATGAGTATGTTAGAGAGTTCAGCCAATCATATAATACCTCTAAATATATCTTCATTAATGGTAAATTCATGAGTATCACATTCGATCATCAAAGTAATTCTAGACTTTACAATTCTAAAATTCATAATTTACTTAAAACTTTCAAATAATTTATACAAAAATAAGAAAAATATAAAATTCACAAAAGCAAAGATCATTTATTTGGAAACCAACTACATAAATAGAACATTTACATCATAACTCGGGTCAAAAAATCAATAAATTACTCGGTTCAGATAAAAAACATATATTTTTGTATCTCAATTCTTAAATGAATAAATTGATATTATTTTTTGAAGCGAAGCAAGTCTAATAAATTATACCATATGTGACTACCATATAACCATCCAATGACCATCCTTACTATCATCTTTTCCTCTTCCCTGCATTATATTCATAAAATCGAGAAAGAATTTTGGAACTAAAAGAACCAATTGCATCAATTAAATAAGTAACTAATAGTAAAAAAAATGAATAAGAATAGAAAGTCACGTGTCATATATTTATTAATTAATGATTTTTTTACGAATATAACAAGTCGAATTTAAAATATGAGTGGAATGTAATGTGCACCTAACTTTAGGCAATTAAATGAATTGAGTCTGAAAACGAAAGGAATAGGGAGTAGACTGCATTATAAATATATATATATATATATAAATGCAATCTAGAAGCTGTTAAGGAAGTTGGTCACTCGTTCTCATAAGCTGTAAAATTGCATTAGCTTTCCTTCTTGCTCTGTTTGTTCCGGTTAGGGAGATGTCAACTAAATGCTCGTAAACGCCAAACTGAAGTGCTGTAAGAATGTGAGACGAATTATTCAAACTCAACTCGAGAAGAACCGAGGCCGCGCACTCCTTATTCTTTGGTGTCCCGTCTCTGATGATATCAACCAGCATTCCAATGAACGAAAGCTTTCCGATCTCATGTCTACCTTGTGGATGAGTTGCTAGAAGCAAGAACATGGAGAGGGCCTCATCGAGCATCCCGATTCGTTTATCCTTTAGCAGGAGCTGTAATGGTGGCACAATGCCAGCATCAATAGCCCTTGCCTTGTTGGCTTGGTTGAGACATAAGTTGAATAGGGCAGTCAGAGCATCTTTTTTGCCCGTAACCGTCCCGGTATCTAACAATTCGACAAGAGCGGGAATGCCTTCGGAGAGAGCGATTGTTACTTTGTTCTCGTCGAGCATCGATAAGCTGAACAAAGCTGCGGCGGAATTCTCTCTCGACTCCATACTTCCATTTCGTAAGACGTCTATTATAGCAGGTATGGCTTGTTCTTGCGCTATGAGCTTCTTGTTAGTGTCATCGATGGATAAATTCAATAGAGATGTCACGACATGCTCTTGAATTTTATGATTCGGATAGGGCAGCAACCGCACCAACGCTGGGATCGCGCCACAATTAGAGAACAAAACTCGGCTCTCCGGCTGATCCTTAGAAAGCATACGAATATCCTTTACTGCCCTTAACAGCACTTCTAATTCAGTAGAAGATAATTCTTCAACCAAAGATGTGATTTCTTCCTCTTTAACAGAGGAGCCTTGTGAATACTCAAAATCGTCTGTAATGGGATACTTGTAATTGTTCTTCTCGCGCCATTGTGTGATAAGGTTCTTGAGGGCGTGATTCGGCACAAGCGACAAATGAGCCAAATTCTCCCTTGTCTTTGGGCAGGTTCGATTGTTCGAATCAAACCACTTCTGTATGCTCTCTCTCTCAAATGTCTGAACCAAAACACATATATCAAACAGACAAATCTTGCATACCATAGCATGCTAATCATGTGTAAGTTATTCAACATGATGTTGTTACCTGTCCGCTTGCGATGATAACCGGATCTCGCATTAGTTCGAGTGTGATCGGACACAGGAACTCGTGAGGTATCACCAAAGATTCGGACCTCTCCAACATTTTAGGCTTGATGGATTCCTCGAAAATATTGGCAACTTCCATGCCTAGAATCCGTTTGAATTTGTCGAGAATTTCGATAACCTGTACTACGCACTCTGAGGTTCGGCCTCTTTCTTCGGCAAGTTTCCTTATAGCTATGGTTTCTTTCTTTAAATATTCAACTGTATGCAAATCAAGTTTCTTGGCCAGCCTTTCTATGATGGCTATATCAGCCGTCCTTTCATCAATTTTCGACGAAACTACCATCAAATCGACTGCGAGTTCCATATCCTGCGTATGTTTTCGCCGCTTGCCTCGCCGTAATTGTGTTACCATTAGCTCGACCTGAACAACATCCGAGATTCGAATAAATGCAACCCGAAATAAGCCTTTAAAAAACAGAGAAAGATGACACTTTCGATTCATACCTGCTCCCTTACTTCCACGGAAACATCAATTTCATCGAACGGCATCTCATCCAGAACTTGGCATAAATTTTCGTAAACGGCGTGGAATTTGACCATCATTGCCTCAGTCTCTAAGGCCTGAATTACAAAGGAAAATATCTCAGAAAAACAAGCGAAAATGGGAATTTTTCTTCCCCAAATGCAGAAATTAACAATCTCACCAGGAAAATCTTGCTACCGTCGCTGCAAGTTTTCAAAAGTTTCTTCGCCAAACAAAGTACTTTCTTCAACCTCGACAAAGCAGCAACGCCTCTGGGAGGAATGCAAGCACCGAGGAGCCGAACCTCGTCGAAGAACGGCAACAAATTCTTCATGCGCCTGACGAGGCTGTAACATTCTTGTCTCTGGGTGCTCCGGAAATCTCTGAGCCGAGCGACGTATTCGATGAGGCTCAAGCTTTCATGGACCAAATCGAACCCATTTTGCTGACTGATTCCTTCCTCTTCCTCCCCTCTTCGGAAATCAACGTCTCCATCTCTCTCCCTATATACCACCATTGTAGTTCGTGCAAGCTTTTTCACCGGACAACTAGGGAGCGTGGCAGTAGGCTTCTTGTCTTCGACCGGTGGGTTTTGAAGGTGGGGAGAAATCATGTTGAAATATGAAGCGCGGAGACGAATCCGAAGAGGGGTGTTGAGGGGAAATCGAGAGACATTAAACCCTAAAGCATGTTGCCATGGATGAATATGACGACGATGGTGATGGTGGTTGTGTTTCTTACGTGCGATCCCTCGGCGTGCATTTCGGGTCTGTTGCAATGAATTCCGCGGTAGTTTTGTTTCTTAAAATATAAAATCTAAATCAGGTGCTTTGACATGTCATATATTCTTTTGTATAAATAGAATGTAGGGTAAACAAAATAAATTTTTAAAAAAAGAGGTTGATCCATTCCATTCTTATGACATGACCTAATATCATTGTTCCAATTACGGGTTTATAATTATATATAAACAAAATAAAATTAAAAAAAAAGGTGTGATCCATTCCATGCTTATGACATGACCTAGTATCATTGCTCTAATTACAGATGGATCGATAAAATTAGTGAGAACGGTTTTTTTTTTAATTTTAAATTTGTATATAATTGAAATATGTTTTATTTTTTTATTAATAATTTATTATTACCTCTTAAAATTTTATAAATTTAATTCATGACATAAAAATTTACATTAGTCTAATGTAACTAGGTTCATGCTAACAAAAGTTAACCCTTCTTTTTAAGGCTTAATGATAAACCCCCAACATTTACACATATAATTACTTTGGTCTAACTTATTTTTTTTAGGGTATTTTAACTTAACGTTTCAATTTTTTTTTTATCATAATAGCCTATGTTTGATGAAAACTGTTAAGTGACTAATGATCAACGCATATTATTAACATGACATTCTCACATATATCTAATTGGTGACGTTACATATGTCATATTATCACTTTTAATGAGGTGACACATATTATATCATTATTTGAGTGATGTGACACATGTTATGTCATCACTTTTGGTGATATGGTACATGTCATGTCACCACTTTAAGTAATATGACACATGCCACTTCATTACTTTGGTGATGTAACATGTACATGTGAAAAAGCTACATCAATAACATATGTTTACTATTAGTTAATTAATGTTTTTTTATCTAAAAATAACTATTTTGACCAAAAATTAAAATGTTAATGCTATAATACTAATAAAAAAATTAATAAGAAATAAAGTGATTATTTATACAAATATTAGAGGCTAATTTTACTATTATGCCTTTTTTAAATATGCAAATCATTTTGATCCAAAAACATATATTTGGTTTGTAACTACATTAAGATATTACAAAATGGTCCTCAAATTATAAGATGTTGTTTTGTTGAGTCCTCTAACTACTAAAAGTAACACAATGGTCACTCGACTATTCATGTGTTCTAAAATCATCATTTTTCGTTTAAAAATTGACGCCTATCTGAGTTGGGCGTTAATCTGTTGGCTGAGATATGATAAAATAAAATTACATTTCAATGATATCTATTGGCACCACCCTTGCTTTTCAAGCATTGGCTCGCCAACATAATGTTCCAAGCACTGACTTGACGACATAATGTAAACGAAGATTCGATCCATAAAATACAACTAAAACAATTTTGAGATAAGATTTTATCATATCACAGTCAACATTTAACGTCCATCTCAGACGACTGCATATTTTTTTAACCGAAAAGGATAAGTTTTGAACATTTGAATAGTCAAGTGACCATTTTGTAACTTTTAATAATCCGAGGACTCAAATGGTAAAACTAAGCCTCTGACACTAAAACTCCTTAAGCTTCATAGTTTAAACTTCAAATTTCACAATGTATTCAACTTAGTCCCTACATTCGTGTATTAAAATGTAAAAAGTAAAAATAAAAAGTAAATAAGAACCCTTTAAACGAGCTTGTTCATGAACATAAACAACTGAACACATCTTTGTTCATGTTCATCCGTTTATTAAATGAACATAAAGATTTTTTAATACTCATTTATTTTAACTTAACAATATAACATAATTGAATGTTATACGAACAACTCACCGAACACTCTGTTCATTTACACCCCTACTTTTCGTGCAATTTATAAGTACGAAAGGATGGAGAAAGTTCTTGTGTTGCACATCTTGTTGTATATCATGCTTCATGCTACAATAAGTTTCCCCTCCTTTTTTAATAAAATTTGATGAATTTACTAATTAATTCAGTGATAAAAGAAAATATTGTCATCCCTAAAGGTTCTGGATTTGAACAACTAAGTCTTCAGAGTGTATATGCGTTATTAAATTATGAACAAATACTACCTTATAAATTATAATCATTTTAGACTATTAATAAAAGGAGCAAATTTGATAATATTTATTTAGCATTCTTTGTAATAATATATAGTTGGGCTACAATAAAATCTCCAAATCAAGTTAATCCCAATACGTCACATTTATCTATCTCTATTTAAAAGAAAACTTTAAACAAATTATTAGTTTAGTATTTATATAGAGTGTAAAAAATTAAATTAGAAAAATCGGCTCATACGCATATGCATATTATATCAATGTTAATTTTTGCCCAAGACAACTAGTTAATCTAACACTTCTTTTCAATAGTGTTATGAAAAAATATTTTTGAAAAGTTTAGACAAATAATTTTCGGAAAGCATTTTTTGGATTGAATGTTTTCATTACTATACAATATATTTTTGAATAGATAAATAATTATTTTATACAAATATTAAAATTTAAAAAATATATTTTTAATGATAATTATATTTTCAATATTATAATGTATTAAAATATGTAAACTTAAATTATGATAAAATAACAAAGTATTGTTATTAAAAAATAAATACATTTATAATAAGTGTATTATTTTATGAAAAATAGAAAATTTAAAATGAAAATTTCTAGAAGTTGATATGATAAAATATAAAATTTCAAGACTCACAAATGATTTATTAATTATATGATAATATCGTGATAAAAAGATGATAAATTTATAAATTAAAAAGAACATAACATAGGATAACAAATGAATTTTAAAATAGTAAATTTAGCTCGAACAAATATTTTAGACTTAAAAGTTGAAACTTTTAACTTCCGTGTTTGCGTTATAAAGAGATTCTCAAACAATTTTTTTTTCAATAATATTTGTTCATAATCTTATTTAACCATTGACAATGTACACATACATTCTACAGACATAACTACTGGGAAGAACAAGAATAGATTCAAACATAATATTAAACACGATCAAAGAGGAGCAAAATGCATTTAAATGTGGGAAAGGAGCAGCAACTTGTTATGTATAAACCCCATGACAAGTTACGTTACAATGAACGTCCCACAAGTGGCTGGTGAACAACCAACAAGAAAATACCCTAATCTAAAAGACTTATGACATGGAAGGTACCATTTCAGATGATTCAATCCATGCTTCTCAGATTTGTTGGATATGAACGTGTTCAATTTTTCTCACAAGTATTTCATATACATGAGAATCATATTCTCCATGTCCATATTTGTCAAAACAAAGAATCAGACACGAGTAATTTAAAATAAAATAAAATAAAATCAAAGCAACAAAAGATAAGATCACACTTTCAGTTTTCCCTATGATCACAAACAGTAATTCAGGAAACATATTCAGAAAAGCAACGGGTTCTTAAATAAGATGTGCATGCTTTATAATTTCCCCAGCCTCATTTATAAAAAGCCACTAGAAACAATAGGATTTTAGCATTTCAAAACATGCAGACACTTTGCTAATTTCATTTTCCCCAACAAAAGTATATATCCTTTTACATCAAATATCAGTACAAGCTTTGATCACTAAACAAAATAATTCCCTCAGGTGACCTATAATGATCAATGCTACTCTTCACAGAAGAGACTAGAAACCATTCAACAAGACAAGATTTACCTACGAACAGATGGCACAACACCTCTACCCACTGTTGTGCCACGTCCAGCAGCCTGAGCCTGTAAAACCAAAAAGAAATGAACTCAAAATTTGGAAAATGAAGCTTAAAAGACAAGGAAATTTAAAATTAGATAAGCAAAAACAAAAAAACATGATTCTTGGGTTCCGCCTTAATTACAGGATAGGTAAACTTACTTTGGCTCGCATTGCAACAGCTCTACCTCTGCCAACTCCTAAAGATGAGCTCTTACCCTTGAAGACATTATGAAACAAAATGAGAAATAATCTAACAAGTGCATAGTGTAAGAAAAGTGATAACTTGAGAGTAGAGATGTACCTTGATTTTAGCATCTAGGCGTTTGAACATAGGAGCATTCTTCAACATGTCAGGTATGACCATAAACCTGTAAAAGGATGACCATAGCCTGATTTGAATATAACTGCAGAACTATTGGCAAGCATCTTATAACCATCGGATGTTGCATATAAAAACAAGACATGGTCTAGCAAGGGGTAGAGAGAAAGACATGATACCTGACTTTACTGCCTCGAATGAACACATGCTCAAGCTGTGATACCTTTCCATCCTGAAGCGAAGCCAATCCATCAGTTTAAAATCAGTTACAGGTAGAGGTAACATGAGATGAAAGCAAGAAAAACCTCGATCCAAAGGGAATAACAAGTTTTTGATAATATACCTACTTTTGAAAAAGGGGATTAAAAAATATGCACTGAAATCACAATGAATTTTCTGAGAAAGAACGATGATTTTATTAAATTCTCATTTCACTCGTTCAACTTTTAACTAGTTCTATTAAAAAAAGAATAATGGTGCAGGAAGTCAGGAAATGGGATCCTTCATTAAATTAGGTAAGAACCGAACGTTTGTGTTATAACCTAAATAGAATCACACAACAGTCAAAAAGCAGAATCCACGAGCAAACTCAAATATAGCACTGAGAGATTGCTAAGCATAAACATCGTCAATTTTTGAAATCCTAGAATCTCCATCTTTCCCTTCCTGCCCCCTCTCCTTTGGCTTAACCCGCTTATAAACTTAAGTCCAGAGTACCGGCAAGCAAAGCCTAAATCTAACATCAAGTACTTAAGCATAATGTTTATCACCAACTGAACTGAGCATAAACCCTAAATTCCTAAGATCCAAACTGAAACTGATAAATCAAACTCATTACTGAATAAGTAAGGAAAAAGGTAAAGCGAGAAAGAGAGGTACTTTAGAGGTGAAAGTGATGTTCTCAAGCTGGCAATTCCAGTTATCCTCGCACTCGACCATGCCTCCCCTGTAAAGCTCTCCGCTCTTAAGCTCCACCGTTACAACGTGGCCAGATGCCTCGTGTAGTAGCTTCACCGGTATGCCCAAGCTCCGGCTCATCGTATCTTTTTCCTTTTATCTTTCTCTCTCTCGCTCGTCCGAATCGAAAACCCTAGCGTTGAGAGATTTTTTTTCTCCCGGTGAATTGGTTGTTTAAATTTCTAATAAACCGAACTATTGGGGTTATAATTGTAATTCTATACATATGGTGAGAACAAGTTTGGAGTGTTCAATAGGTTAATACGTATTCCTACTCGATAATCAGCGTGTATATGTCCGGTTAAAATGTCAATGGAAAAAAACCTCATTAAATTATTATCGTTTTACCATTTTGATTTTTTGTTGAAAAATATTATTAATATTAGTATGTTTTATTAAGATTTATATAGATTTTAAATCAATTTAGATCAATTATTCTGAGTATGTTATTTTAAAAATCCAAATTATATATAAACGGATATTAACTTATAGCTTACATCACATACTGCAACACTTTATTAAAACGACACATTGAAATACATTACTAATAAAGTTGTTCTTATTATATAAATATTAAAAATACAATGATTTTTTAAAATTATTCATTTATTAAAATTAAAATTTATCTTTAATATAATTAAAATGTTTAGTGAATACATTTTTAACATTATTTAAACTTTCATCCATTAATATAACTTAAAATCATGATTATTATTCATAAATCGATAATATTAATAAATACAATCACCAATCAATAAATTTAAATTTTATTAAAATTCTTTAGTTTATCGATAATTCTATCAAGAGATAATGACTACTCGAAGATACAAAAAGTGACCATTATATAAATGTAAAACAAGCTAACTTCTACATGAAAAGTGATTTAACACGCATTTAGTAACCTAACCTACCTAAGATTTAATTGTATGTACTGATAAATATAAAAATTTTAATTATATAAATAAAAGATTGATTTGATTTAATTATTAAAAAATGTTTTATGAAACACTGTCACGTCAAAAAGTTACTGTAGAGTACAAATAGATGTAAATCATTATCACTTGTGATACATGGAAATTCAATTTATGTATATAATAAATCAAATAAATATAAAACACTATACATGAAAATTTAATTCATGTATATAATAAATCAAATCACATGTTCTTCATGATGCTGCTGTAGAAGGAGAGGTGGGATTCATGAATCTTCATATTTTAAAAAAATTAATTACATCACATCATGTCCTCAAAATATGACTTACATTATTCTTGAATTATGATTACCATTTTAAATTTTTAAATATTTTAATTTCATCTTTAAATTATGATATTCATTTTAAATTAATTTCCAAATACTTTGAATAGTATAATTTCAACCTAAACTATACTTATATATTATCACATATCTTGTTAATAAAGTTAGATTAAATTATAATTTAAGGACTAATTTAAAAGGGTAATTATGATGCAATTAACTGTTTTAAAAAACAATCCGTTGGATTTTTAACGGGCAGCTGAGCTGCAACGTGTTAGTATATGCTTCGTCTCTTTCGGAGGGCAACTCAAACATCATTTCAACTGTAGCACTTGTTTTTCTGCTGAATTTAGATTGGATTTTAGACTGAACAAAACTAATTTCGCTTATTTTTCGTTAAACAACCAACGGCCTAGATTTTTTTCAATAAAATATATATGTGATCTGGCGCTAATGCCAATCAATTGCTCCCTGTCGAAACCATTATTTGCTTGAAAGAGGCAATGGAACTGAGCTGAGCTGAGCTTTGCTTGAGAGGCTAAATCTCTCGGATTGGCAAAGATGTTGGGTTCGTTGAGTCTTCTCGCTACGCCTTCTGCTTTTCGATCTTTCTCGCCTTCATCGAACAAGAATCGCTCTTTGGTAATTTTAATTATTATTTTTACTCAAATATTTTCAAAACTAGATCATTTGCATGGCGTTTCTACTCCTTCCATGACCGTTTAACTTGTTTATGTTTCCACAGTGTTCAACGACTAATCATGAACTAGCCAAACAACTAGCCGCTGAACGCCGTCGTGGATCCCGAATTTTGCTTCGGCGACATGTATTTCCCTCTAACTCTGTGTATCGAAGGGTACGATTTCTCCTTTCAATTTCTTTTATTTTAAGCGCGTGATTTTCTTTTTCCTTTTTATGATTATTAGTCCTAATCAGGCTCGATTAAATAAAAAATTGGTTGAACTCCTTAGCTATCTTTGGTGTCAAATTTGGAATTGCAAGTGTTATGGTGTTGATTAAGTCATCGTTTGTACTCTACTTTCCCCTCCTCCAGGTCAGCTATGGTTCCCCAATATCAGCTGTTATGATTCAGGATACTTCAACGATGACTACCTCTGAGGAGGACACAGAACACATCGGTATCTTGGATGTTGATACTGCACTCGTCCCATTTAAAGATCACTTTCAATATAGAATTAATAAATTTGTGGATCAGAAAACTCTCTTTGAAAAACATGAGGGAGGCTTTGAGGAATTTGCAAAAGGTCATTTCATTGCTCTCCACTTATTAGTTTGCTTTTATCAAAGGTTATTTCGATGATGAAATTGCTTGCTAAGTGGTAAAATCAATATTTTATATGAGAATGTTAAAATGAAATATGTCTTTTACCTTCTTTTGTAGGTTATTTGAAGTTTGGATTTAACAAAGAAGATGATGGAATTGTCTACCGTGAGTGGGCTCCTGCTGCTCAGTAAGTTTTTGGTTCTGAAACACAAAGTTGCTAACTTTGTTATTAGCATTTTACATATATTTGATTCCTAACTAGAGTCTTTTGCATCACGCAGGGAAGCTCAAGTTGTTGGAGATTTTAATGGATGGGATGGTTCCAGCCACAAGATGGAAAAAAATCAATTTGGAGTTTGGAGTATAAAAATTCCTGATGCTGAGGGGAAACCTGCTATTCCTCATAATTCAAGAGTCAAGTTCAGATTCAAGCATGGTGATGGAGCTTGGGTAGATAGGATTCCTGCTTGGATCAAGTATGCCACTGTAGACCCTAACGCATTTGGAGCACCATATAATGGTGTACATTGGGATCCTCCACCTTCAGAAAGGTACAATTTCTTCAGATTTTATTTGATTTATATTTATACTTGTGATTCCATTTAAAATAAAATAAATATAGTTACTAGTCAATAGAAGTGTTGTGTTTAGGCCAAAAAAAAAAAGGGAAAAGAAGAAGAAGAAATAACTGTGTGGTGCAGGGTTTTGGTTATGGTAGTACTTGTATTCTTTTAATCCAGAATTTAAAATTCATTACTAAAATCAGTTTGATATTTCTTGAAGTTGGAAGCTTGTTGCCTTATTCTTTTGATATTGCTGATTTTCTAATTTTAATTTATGCGATTGAGAAAATTTTCCTTTTAATGTACCCTTCATTTATAATGCAGATATGAGTTTAAGTACCCTCGTCCTCCAAAACCTAAAGCCCCAAAAATATATGAAGCGCATGTTGGAATGAGTAGCTCAGAACCACGTATTAATTCATACAGAGAATTTGCTGATGAAGTTTTACCGCGTATTAAGGCAAATAACTATAATACTGTACAATTGATGGCTGTAATGGAGCATTCCTACTATGCATCATTTGGATACCATGTTACAAACTTCTTTTCTGCAAGCAGTAGATCTGGAACTCCTGAGGACCTCAAATATTTAATTGATAAAGCTCATAGCATAGGTCTCCGGGTCTTAATGGATGTTGTTCACAGCCATGCAAGTAACAATGTCACTGATGGACTCAATGGCTTTGATGTTGGCCAAAGTTCACAGGAATCGTATTTTCACACTGGAGAAAGAGGTTACCACAAATTATGGGATAGTCGACTGTTTAATTATGGTAATTGGGAAGTCCTTCGCTTTCTTCTTTCGAACTTGAGGTGGTGGCTTGAAGAGTTCAAATTTGATGGGTTTAGGTTTGATGGAGTGACTTCCATGTTGTATCATCACCACGGTAGCAACATGGCATTCACAGGGAATTACAACGAGTATTTCAGTGAGGCAACTGATGTTGATGCTGTTGTTTATTTAATGCTAGCCAATTCTCTGATACATAGCATCTTGCCAGACGCCACTGTAATTGCTGAAGATGTTTCTGGTATGCCTGGACTTGGTAGGCCTGTCTCTGAAGGGGGAATTGGTTTTGATTACTGCCTAGCCATGGCCATCCCTGACAAGTGGATTGATTACTTGAAGAATAAGAATGATGAAGAGTGGTCAATGAAGGATTTATCCTGGAACTTGACAAATAGGAGATACACTGAGAAGTGTATATCTTATGCTGAGAGTCATGATCAGGTATAAATAGTAAGAAATTGTTTTTCTCACCCATCTATTTCTAAATTTAGTTAAATCATTTCTTTATGACACCAGAACTTGTTTTCCTTTGGGCTTTGTTTTTTCTCACTTTTGGATGATAACAGAAAGAGATATGTAAGGAAAGGCTGAGTAATAAAATGCTTTCTACCTCTTCCTTTTCTCCTCTTTACCTTAGCAAAGCCCAAATGGATATAAATCATAAATGGTTAATCATAGCGTACCCCCTTGCCTGAATCTGACACCATATTTGCACTTCTTAATGTTTCCTTTCCTTTTAATGTTTGTATATTTTGCCATTTGTCATGCTTATCTGATATTATTCTTGTTTGGCAGTCTATTGTAGGTGACAAGACAATAGCATTTTTCCTGATGGACAAAGAAATGTACTCTGGCATGTCATGTTTAACAGATGCTTCTCCTGCCATTGAGCGAGGGATTGCACTTCACAAGGTTGGTTCTAACTAAAATCTTAGAGGCATTTCTCTGCCGTTTCCATAACTTCTTGCATTGTTGATGAATTACAGCAGCCATGAATCTGTGTTGTTCTGAAAAATTGCAAAGATGGAACTTCAATTATTTTATTCAGTCATCATATTTTGCATCTTCATAGACCATTTTCTTTATTTAGCCATTATTCTCGTTGTTTCTTTCTCGCCCTAACATTTGTCTTTATTTAAAATTTCTTTTGCAGATGGTACATTTTATCACTATGGCATTAGGAGGAGAGGGCTACCTTAATTTTATGGGAAATGAGGTAAACATTCTGGGTCAACATTTTCATACTGAACAGTACATCAATATTTTATTTGGGTGGATATTGGAGATAATATTAAGTCTAGGAAAATAGGATGAACCGGTGAAGATCTGCCGATGATATTTAAGTCAAAAGGACACTAAAATGTAGATGATAGACTATACCTGTCTAGAGGGCAATTTTCTAATATTAGGGTTTGCTTTCTCTTTTGAAAAAATAAGTTTATTAGATATCTCGTCTGCATGTTTGTACAGTTTGGACATCCTGAATGGATTGACTTCCCGAGAGAAGGCAATGGGTGGAGTTATGAAAAGTGCAGAAGACAGTGGAACCTGGCGGATACTGATCACTTAAGATACAAGGTCCATGGTTATTTTCCTTAAGAATTTCTTAAAGTTTCTATGCATTATTCCACTGGGCAACTGGAGCATTTGCTAAGATTTGAACTTTTTAGTGTTAGGGAATAAGCTAGTGAGTAGTGACTATTGGCCAAGAGACCGTTTAAATCTCTCACTATCTTTTCATTGCCATAACATAATGCTAAGAGCCGGATCAAAATCCAAGTTGCGAGGTCAAGCATTTAGTTGAGTGTGGATCATTGTCAGTAACCTGGTGATCATTGTGGAAACACAGACACTTCTCACCTTCCTTTTTAACCTTGAAGGCATCTATATAATCCATTTTATAAGCTGAAGTTTTTTCGCTAATAATAATTCTGTGTCTACTTTTTTATCTTTCTCCATTCATGAGTGGTTTGCTCCTCTTGTGCAATCTTTACATAAACTTTTCCCTTTGCATTTGGCTTTGCAGTTCATGAATGCATTTGATAGAGCTATGAATGCGCTTGATGATAAATTTCCATTCCTTTCATCAACAAAGCAGATAGTGAGTTGCACTGATGAAGAAAACAAGGTAAATCTACAATGGCAGTTGGTGGTTAGAGTAAGACCGTTGTTGTAACAGTCAATCTTATTTATGATGCAAAATACATGCATATTGTTGATAACCAAAGTTATTTGACCTTGTTAGGATTGGACTTTTAAATTTTAGAAATAATAATTTGTTTATATATCACTCTTTGCATTGACCAGAAAACAAGATTATTATTTCCTGTTTACCTCTAATGGATAGAGATAATCGCACTGCATCCTTGTTTAGTTATAACCTTTTTTCCATGTTTTAACTTCAGTTTTGGTGGATTCGATAATCATTTCCTGATTTAGGTTATCGTCTTTGAGAGGGGTGATCTTGTTTTTGTGTTCAACTTTCATCCAGAAAATACGTATGATGGGTATGTATGCCTCGAATCATGAAATGTATAGATTTATTTGTCTGTTTTTACAAGGATCCATTTATTTGTCGGAAAGTAATTACTTGCACCTTAAAACTCTTCGAGTGACTATTGTGTGAAACATGCAGGTACAAAGTGGGGTGTGACTTGCCAGGGAAGTATCAAGTTGCATTGGATAGTGATGCTTGGGAATTTGGTGGGCATGGAAGAGTAAGGAAATCCTGATATTCTTGTTATTCATGCCTTTTGTTATTGGTATAAGAGTCGTTCGTCAACTGGCCTGATTTCTTCCAATATAATTGGATTTTTACAGCTACTAATTTCATGAACTTTCTTGGGACTTGAAATCAAATTTTTGAATGTTTCCTTCGGTCTAGGAGTGGCCTGTGGTCCTGTAAGTTGGTAACCACAGTGTGTCTACCCTGATACCGGCTGCTAATGAAGCAGTAGCATCTAAAGCCTCTCTTTCTCATCTGTACATTGTTTTCTCTCCTGATAATGCTTAATTAATTATATTGGTAGGTGGCCCATGATGCGGACCATTTTACATCTCCTGAAGGAATTCCAGGTGTGCCTGAAACTAATTTCAACAATCGCCCTAATTCTTTCAAAGTACTGTCACCAGCTCGCACATGTGTGGTATGATTATCTCTTCCCGGTCTTTCTGATTAAATTATATTAAATCATTTATATCCATCACAGTCAACTAGCAATGCAATTCTGGTATGGCAGTTTTATTGCCTTTTCTTCCTGACTTCCTACTTACATACTTTGCATCGGACAATTGTGCATATTTATTATTGTGCACTTTGGCTTACAGCTTTTGGAAGTTAGAATGGCATCATGGTCATCAAATCTCTACCTGTATCTATTGTCTTTGTGCCTCTGAAGGGAAATGAGGACTGACAGATTTCTTGCAAAATTTCCACAGGTTTATTATAAAGTGGACGAAAGTCTAAAAGAAACTAATGATGCAATCTTAAGCGGTGTCGATGAGACACTAAAAGTCGATGCATCAAAGCAGGAGAATGTGGAAGAGTCGACTATCTTGGTAGGTGATAAAATCTGTGCCTGTTTATTTGGACTTGAATCTATGAATGAAAACTTGAATTGACAGATTTCTTAAGGTTCTCCCCAGGTTGCGCATGGAGCTGAAGAGAATCCAGGAGAAACTAATGACCGACACTTGGGCGGTGTTGATGAGAAATCACAAAAATTTCAGGCAAAGCAGGAAAGTGGTGAAGAGCGAGCTCCTGTGGTAGACAAAACGATTGCTGCAAGTAAGCTAGATGATCCTGAAGTGGAACAAACAGAGGATGGAATGTTGGACGAATAAACTTGTCGGCTCCAACACGAATCTGCTGGATGGATTTGATTACGGAAGCCTATGCGTAATAAGTGGTTAGTTATTTTGTGAATAATACTAGTGTGTGAGGACTGAGTAAGCAGGGAAATTTAATTTTGTTTTGGAGTTGTAAATAGTATGTAGAGTACAGCAATAGTCTGCTTAATCACTAGCAGCATTGGAACTCGTCAAACAACTACTGTGATTGCCAATGTAGAAAAAGCTGTTCTGGAAATAAGTTGAAGCGTTTTGGAAAAAAATAGTATAAGACGATCATATAACAAAGGTAGATATTCTTGAAGAGACCCAAGACATAACTAATAATACATTTTTAGAAGAGTTTTGGGTACCTGTAAAATAAAAATGAAAATAATAGAGAGATCTCAATAAATTATATCATTACAAGAAAATAATGGAATTAAAATAGAAAAGTTGGTAACCACAGTGTTACCAAAACTCTATAAATTAGATAATTATTTAATATTAAATATCAAATAAATTAGATAATTATTTTATATGATTTATCTATTTTAAATTTTAAAATCATAATTCTTATATTTTTAAAACCTAAAAGTTTAAATTTCAAATATTAAATATCAAATAAAATTTTTAAATTCTAAAATAATTTTTTTATATAAATAACTTTTAATTTTATTTATAGTAATTCATACATACGCATCTACTAATATTCAGTAACCAAAATAATGTAGTCTTAAGACGCATATAGGAGCAGATAATGAAAATGACGGCACAGAGATACAAAACCAAATAAAAAGACTAAAATAATAAGTGACATTTGGGTTTACCAGTCGTTTTCTATCATAAACTAATCACGATCCATACGAAATCTTTTCTTCTACGTTTCTATAGCAATTTCCCCCAACCCAACCCAAACCAAAGTGTTGTTGAAGAAGCTATGGAAGGCTCAATCAAGTGTTCTGCCAACTGCGTTCCTTTAACTCCCATCAGCTTCTTGGAACGCGCCGCGCTTATCTACCCAGACTCCGTCTCCGTCGTCCACGGTGATGTCAAGTATACCTGGAAACAAACTCGCCAGAGGTGCGTTCGCCTGGCTTCTGCGCTTTCCCAACTCCGAATCTCCCGTCGAGATGTGGTAATTCTCTGTTTCTCTTCTTTCTCCAATGATCTACGCTTTCGAGTAATTTTCTGCTATTTTTAGATTAATTTGTTAAACCCCAAATAACGTTATTTTGGCTGTTGATTTTTGGGAATAAGATCAGGAATTTTACTTCATTTCTCCAGTAGTTTAGTCCTCTTATCATTATATTCCGTTTGAGTTGGTTTTGTAGGTTGCTTTTTCCTTGTTTTTGAATCCTAATTTGCTGTTGGAATCTCCAGCCCTTATCTGTTACTTAGAACAAATCTTTGCTTGATTGAGAGCAGGTTGCTGTATTAGCCCCAAATGTTCCAGCAATTTATGAGCTTCATTTTGGTGTTCCAATGGCTGGGGCAGTTCTATGTACACTCAATATACGACATGATTCCCCTATGGTGGCAATGTTATTGAAGCATTCGGAAGCCAAAGCCCTTTTTGTAGATTACCAATTCCTCCATATTGCTCGGGGAGCGTTGAAAATACTATCCGAGACGAACAATAAGCTGCCCCGACTGGTCTTGATTTCGGATCATGACCAGCAAGTTCCCTCCGGCAGCAACACCAAATCTACATCTGCAAACTTGGACTATGACAGTCTTTTAGAAATGGGGAAACTAGATTTTGAGATCAGAAGACCGGAAGATGAGTGGGAACCTATCTCACTTAATTATACTTCTGGCACGACATCGAGTCCGAAGGGTGTTATTTTTAGCCACCGAGGTGCCTATCTCAATTCTCTAGCAGCGATTCTTCTCAATGAGATGACCTCGATGCCTGTGTATTTATGGTGTGTTCCCATGTTTCATTGCAATGGATGGTGTCTGACATGGGGAATTGCTGCTCAAGGTGGTACAAATGTATGCATAAGAAATGTCACTGCGGGCGGAATATTTAGTAATATTGCTAAGCACAAGGTGACTCACATGGGTGGTGCACCTACGGTTTTGAACATGATAATCAACGCACCAGCTAGCGACCGAAGGCGTCTTCCAGGGAAGGTTGTGGTCATGACGGGAGCTGCACCGCCACCCCCTAATGTACTTTACAAAATGGAAGAATTGGGATTTAGAGTGATTCACTCATATGGCCTGACTGAAACATATGGTCCAGGAACAGTTTGCACTTGGAAACCAGAATGGGATTCTCTGCCTCGACACGAACAGGCTAAGATAAAGTCTAGGCAGGGGTTGAATCATCTCGGTATCGAGGAAGTCGATGTTAAAGATCCCGTTACCATGAAGAGCATGCCACCGGATGCAAAAACTATAGGTGAGGTTATGTTTAGAGGCAACACTGTCATGAATGGATACCTCAAGAACTTAAAAGCAACAGAGGATGCCTTCAAAGGAGGATGGTTCCGAAGTGGGGACTTGGCAGTGAGACACCCTGATGGTTACATAGAACTCAAGGACCGGTTGAAGGACATAATCATCTCCGGGGGAGAAAATATTAGCTCCATCGAAGTCGAATCGGTGCTTTATAGCCATCCAGCAGTGGTAGAGGCAGCTGTGGTGGCAAGACCAGATGATCACTGGGGGGAGACACCTTGTGCATTTGTGAAGTTGAAGGACGGATACAGAACCAGTGCCGACGAAATTATCAAGCATTGTCGAGACAACCTGCCACATTACATGGCTCCTCGAACGGTGATTTTTGAGGATTTGCCGAAGACTTCGACCGGAAAGACACAGAAATATGTTCTACGAGAGAAGGCCAAGGCATTAGGAAGCATTTCGAAGAATAAGAGCAAACTGTAGGAGAGAACTTTGTGGAGGAATCAAGTGCTCAAGATTTTATTTAAAATGGAAGGAATTTGGACGAATTGTATTTTGGTTTGATTTTGGGAACGACAACATAATATTGGGAACAATAATGCATGTGATAAATATGTTATCTTTTTGAATTTTATTTAATTTTAAAATATAATTATAATATTTATAATATATAAAAAATAGAAGAAAAAAATTACTGGACAGTTTTTTAACTCCTTTTGTGGTACTAAATATAATCCTTAAAAATGTACAAAATTTAATCATAAACGTACAAAATCTTCGCATTTTTTGAGATTGAAGTATTTCATTATATAAAGGTTTAAACATTGTTTTCTCGTTTAAAATATTTATTTTTTGTCGAGTTATTTTGGTTCATTTCGTCCTCTTATCGTCAATTTCATTATTAATTTCATCTCGAACTATTATTTTTTCTAAAAAAAAAATATTTGGCAACGGATACAAATTTTTTGAATTAAAGAATTTGTATTAGAAATTTAGGATTGTGAAATTACAAAATTCAAAGGTATACAATTAAATTATCAATAAAAATACAATATTTCTAGGTTAATCGATCAATGGAAATAGTCAAGAGGGGGTTAATTGACAAATTAAAAGTTGTGAAAGCTTTAAGAAAAATAGAAAAGATAGACACAGATTTAGAGTGGTTCAATTTTTTTAATAAAATTACGTCTATTATCTCAACTATCCATTTTAAGGATTTTCACCAATTCACTAATTTATTCTGCAGGGATAAAATGTCGCCTTTCAACTCCCTTAAAACTTATACTCCAAAATTTTAAAACAATTATCTCGGAAGAGAAAATTAACAAATTATGAAATCTTCACAAAAAAAAATATTTGCACAATTCAAAAACTAAAAGTACTCGAGAATACTGAAAGAAAGAATTACAATGAGTACACAAACTACTGTTCTTGAAAGCAAGTAAGTATTTGAATATAAATGATTCTTTTTTATTCAAAGTTGATTGTGTAAGCTTTCTCTATGATTTCTTGTCTTTAAATATACACTGAGATTTGGTTTCATATTCTTTCATTGGTTTTCAGCCGTTTAGGTTGATATGAAAGTTAATATAACTGTTGGAGTGTAAGTATAAAAATTTTAACATTCGATACTACTGTAGGAGTGTTAATATTTATGATATAGATATTCTAGGGCGAGTACCTATATTCATTGCATTAAATATAAAAATCTAACAATTATAAAATTATGAGTATAGAGACCCTTAGTAGAGTATCAATACTACAATCGGACGATATCAATACTATACTTAAGTATCAATTACCATTTTGACATTCGAAATTTAAAAATTTAAATTGAGTAACAAAATATGCTACTCGCAATGTTAGGATAATGATGATCTCAAGTCACAGATCATACACGTGGTTATGACTATGAACAATATTGTGATCATTACATAATAACTCAAGAGTTATGCTCAAAACGGCCAGTCCAATATGTTATTCTCAATTATATATTGATGTATCCTATGTCAATGCTAACATCTTGTCATCAATCAACTACACATTAATCTTTAACATTATTATTATCGAAGCTCGCGATAATACTTGACTAAAGACCTTTTAAGACTAATCATAAGCAGCATCTTAGGCAAGATGTTGTTGCATAAAAAAATGGGGGGGAATAATTCCTAAATGTTGAACCTTAAATTCGAAACAATAACTTCGAAAGCAAATCATGGAATTGGGTATGCCTATAAGATGAGAGGTTGGACGTCGATGAGAAAAACGAAACGGAAGACCAATCATGCTTAGATCGAAGCTGATACTCCCTCAATTGCTCTGCTAAATTCGATCGCGTTATCATCCTTGCCTTCTCTTTTCTCCGCCTTTCGACTTATGATTTTGTTTGGCTTTTGAATATTAAAAAAACGGTTTAAAATTGAGAATTTGCGGAGCAAGCAATGAATTGGAGGTAGGGAAGAGAGATCATCAATTCAATTTCGCTTTGGTTCGTTGCGTGGTTCTCCCTCACAATTTTCTCGCATCATTTTCCGTTTTTCCTCTTCACTTGAAAGCGTCTGAAAATGATAGATAAGCTGAAAAATTTAAAAAAAATGTTTGAAAAATTAAATATGGAATAAAATCTTATTTGTATATTACCTTAACTTAATAAAATTAAATCGTTTAATTTTTGAAATACTCATTTCAAATTAATCAGTTAATAAATCAAACAGCGATGATTCATCCAAAAGATATTGAATTAAAAAAATAGCATCATGAATTTGATAGAACTCGAATCACGATTACAACGCTCTATATTTTGAGTCAACAAAGATATCGAGATATCTATGAACCAGTGTGATTAAGTAATTAGGGTTGTTAATTTCATTAAAAAGAGGACTTTTGAATTGGGAGCAAGGGAGAAAGGACCAATATTATAAGTATACCGTTGAGGGATTGGAAGGTTGAATTTCATTAACTCTGCCTATGTCACATGTTGGAAATGAGACGTTTAAAAGGATGACCATCCTTGTCTTCTTCTTCATCTTTTCTTTTCTTTTTCTCTCTAGTTTTGGACACTAAAGTTAAAACCTTTTTACAGATGCAACCTTTAGACGAATTTATGAAGGCAAATGCAGTTACCATCACCTCCGGAGCTTTGATTCGAGCTCTAACTTTTCATGGTTCACAAGGGTAACTTAAGGAGGGTTTAGAGCCTTAGGCTCACCTAGTAGTTTTAATATCTTTTTAATTAGTTTAAATTTGTTATTCTTACTTCCTTTAAATCCCTAAATGAACTGGTGATTTATTCTTGTTTGTTGTTTAGCTAAGGAAGAGGAAGAAATCTCCAAGAACAAGGAAAAGTTCCTACTTGGTTGAATTGTGACATAACACATTTCTAACATGTATAATACATGTATGTCATTTTATTATAGCTTTGCTTGCTTGTATGTGTGCTTGAAGAATCGTTGAGTGTATTTTGGCTTGTAGATTGATTAGACGGATTAGACATTAAACATATATAAAAAATATATTAAATGATAACTTGACTTGACCGAACACATAATTATAATAAACATTCATATAAAAATATTTAGTCACATATAAAATTTTAAATCATTAAAGTTCATACATTATACACCATCACCGCCATCTTTATTCCATCCATAATATTGAATTTTATTTATATTTAAGTAAAAAATATTCAAAATAAATATTTTTCTCCAAAAATGATTATGTATATTTAAGTCCATTATAATATGTATATATATAATCATTGATTTTAATATATAACAATTTCATAATGATTGCTTACGTGGGGAGTTGTTGAAGCAACACCAGCATTGCTATATAACTTTGAACCACGGGCTCCATTGCAACCACTAGCGGAGAGAAGATGAAGACCGTAGCAAAGAGATGGGATTTCCAAGAGAAGCAAGAGTTGAACGCAGCTTCGGCAGCTTCGGCGGCGACCACCGTGCGAGGATATCTCAACCTGTTAATGGGCAACATCGGCCAAGACAACAGTAGTTTCTCGGTCATTCCTCTCGGTCATGGCGACCATTTCTTTTTCCGAGCTTCAGGATTACCCCTGAAGCCAAAGATGCAATCGTCGAAACCCTACGATCGGCTAAACATAATGGTTATGTCTTCATTGTCGGTGTTCTTCCGACCAGAAGGTTAGTTTCAAACTTTAAATGGTACCATTGATGTTTGTTTATGAATGGTGATAAACTTTGTTCGGTTTCAATTCCATCAGGGCAATTGCAGATTACCTGAACCGAGACCTTCCTTACAAATTGTAACCGGATGATGTTTATCTCACCGTCGGGTGTACTCAAGCAATAGAAATCGTAACAGTAGTTCTTGCAATCCCTGGTGCCAATATTTTGCTCCCTACACCATGCTACCCGAACTACGAAGCTTGTGCCGCTTATAACCATCTTGAAATGTGTTATTACCATCTTCCTGAAAAAGGTTGGTAGATTGATCTTGATGCTATTGAGACGCTTGCTGATCACAATATTGTTGCTATGGTTATTGTAAACCCAGGGAGCCCTTGTGGAAATGTCTTCAGCTATGAACAATTAAACAAGGTTAAGAAAACTGCTTGGTTTTTGTTAGACTGTTCTGAAATCAACATGTTGATCAGTATTTGTCTTTTTTGGAAGCCAGGTTGCAGAGACAACAAGAAAGCTTGGGATTTTTTGTCGTTTCGATGAAGTTTACGATAATGCGACATTCGGAAGCATTCGATATGTGCCTGGGGTGGCTTGTCATAAGTGATCCAGATGACATTCTTCAAGAATCCGGGGATGGCCCCTAATTCTTTTTCTCTGGTTTAACATATACGAAGAAGCTATATGCAATGTTAAAGTTAATGATATAATTGGCTCGTATCAGGTAATTGATTCCATCGTAGGATTCCTCAGTATCTCTTGAGGGGAGATTTTTCTCAAATCCTTGAGAAAACAAAGGAGGAATTTTTCTCAAACAATATCTGCATGCTTAGGGAATGTGCTTATATATGCTATAATACAATTGAGGAGATACCATTCTTAACTTGTCCAAAGAAACCAGAAGGATCAATGTTTGTAATGGTAAGGGAATTGATGGATGATCTATGCTGAAGAAACTAGACTAGTGTTCTTTATTGTAAACTTCCATTGCAGGTGAAGCTGAATACGTCAAAGTTGCAAACAATATCGATGATCTGGATTTCTGCATGAAACTGGAGTAGTGTTCTTTATTTGTAAGCGTCTCTGAGTTTATTTTGGCTTGTATGTGTGCTTGAAGTATCTTCGAGTGTATTTTGACAGACAAAACTTAAACTAAAACTGCAGGGCTTTACCCCAAAGGGAGCCCTTCCAGAAATTCTCGAAGGCCAAAGACAAGCCTAGGCCTAAGAGGGGGTTTGGAAATAGTTTTCAACCAGCAATAGACGCGCCTCGGTTAGAACCTCATGAGCTGCGTCATTGCCCCAAGCGCAAAGATACTGAACCCCCTACTCCCCCTTCTTCTTTTATATAAGTTATCAACCCCCTGCATATTGTTTGCTCCCGTTGTGGGATTGCTTAACATTCCTCCATTTTCTTTCTTGTTCTCTCCTTTAACAACAATAAAGATGAACACATATTGGGTTTCATGAGATTGCCAGCCTTAATCATTGGGGATCAAATAAACATGTGTTTAGCTTCGATGCTATGTAGAATTTGAAAATTGTGAGATGAGAAAAGTAGGTTGCTTATTGTTCATCACTCCCTTCCTCAAACTTTCACACCAACTCATACATCAAAAACCATTCTTTCTCGGCCCCAAAAGGTCCATTCCCGTTTTATGTTAGTCACTTGGTCTTTAAAACTAATTGTTGTTATCAACAACTCTTGTTCTCGTGTCTCCCACCGTCAGGCTTTCTGCTCTAGTTATTAAATCTCTTTTAAAGGTAATCCAAAGTTCTAAACATTTCTCATGTTTAAAAGGTCAAAAAATAATGAATTGAGAATTTTAAGATCAAACAATTGGTGGAGGCGACGACAGTGACCAACCGATAACAATAATAATGAGTGGTGACTGACGACAAAAGATTTTGATTAAGGAGTTAAATTGATATTTCATCTAAAGTTTATGAATCAAATTAAAAATTACTTTCTCCTACTAATGTTACACAAAACAATAATCTGAAAAAAATGAAGAAATTTTATTATTTAATCGCACAAAACAAAATAAATACATAAATATTAAAAAATAAAATTGTTTATTCGTTTGTAGATATGAAATCAGATGAGCAAAGTCGTTAAGACATGTTTACACAGTTTCTTTAGATAAATTTTGTTGCTCCTATGATGCTAGAGAAACGTTGGTCGACAGTTTCTCAGGATACAATAACGAGATAAATATCCATTTAATTTAATTTAATTTAATTTCTCTTTTTAATTTCTAACAAAATTTTAAAAAATATGAATTTACATGTGAGGCAAAGTTTTACCTTATACCTTCTACAACATCCAAGTTCATATATGTAAACATCTCACACACTTGGTATCTCATATCCTGAGCGTATGATAAGACCTCACATGTAAAATTATATTTTTAAATTATTTTTTGGCGTGATATACCATAAAATTATAGTTTATGTATATCATTCACTCCTATAGTGAGTGTGAATTTTAATTCTTTTTGAAATATTTAATTAAATATTATCATAAATTAGCTAAATACAAATTTAGTTATAGATAACATAAAATTAAGTTAAAATATTTTATATGTTAATGAGAATAGGATATAAAGATATACTTAAATCATGATAATTTGATGATTTATTGGAATTTATATACCATTTGGAGGTGTTGTTTAAGGATATTATTTGGAGGTAAATGTGACTTTGTATCCAAACTTGTAAGTTTCATGGCACATTTGTTATGAATTAAAGAGTTCAGGCTTTTATCATGACTAAAATCATGCACAGAAACGAGTATTTTATGTTGCTTAAGTTATTAACCACGAACAAACCGACGCCAATACCAGTGGTTCTGCCAAATTACATTCATGGAGTCGAGGGGAACGCCTTTGGTTTCGGGCAAGAAGAGGACAACGAAAACGGTCATGAACGTGATCCAAGCAGCGTAGAACAAGAAGGCGCCATATTTGAAGTGGCAAAGCATGGTCAAGGAGGTTTGGGAAAGCACAAAGGTGGTGGTGAAGTTGACGGTGACGCTGATGCTTTGTCCTGTCGATCGAATTTTGATGGGGAAGATTTCACTTGGAATGAGCCAACTGAGAGGCCCCAAGACCAACCTAACCCAGCAGCATAGATGCACATTAAAACCAGTAGCAATACGGCATAGCCATTGCTGATTTCCTTTGTGCCCGTAGGCCGAAACCCCTGTTGTAACTGCTAGCACAATTGCCACCCCGACCTTCAGAAATTTTTTACAAGCAATGTAAATATAGCAATTGATACAATGGACACCGAGAACAATATGCAACTAACAAGAGAAAATGCATACCTAACAGACAAACGTCTGAATTCCACCTTCTATGAACAAAATTCTCCGACCGTGCCAATCAACGACACAAGTAGACACGAGGACTGACGCCAGATAAACTAACCCAAATATTATAGGCGCTAACAAAGCTGAATCATTTCCCAAACCAACTGATTTGAATAGAACCGGTGCATAGAAGGCAATTATGTTGATCCCCGTAAGCTGTCTAAAAATGGTATGGCAATTGACATAACCAGGTGAGGCCTATAGTGCCTCTCAAATATTGTCACAAAGGGTTCTCGCTTTGCTTCTTTGGCTACGTCACTGGCCATTTTAAGCTCGGTAAGCTCAGCTTCCACATCACAATCTTTCCCACGAACTTTCCAAATAGATTCCCGGGCTTGCTCCTCTTTGCCTCGTTCTATTAGGCTGCTGGGGGTGTCTGAAATCAGGAGTGCACCGATTGTCATCATGGCAGCAGGCACTATGGCGAGTCCAAGAGAGATACGCCACCCCCACTTTGTTTAGCAGTGCCGAAGTTTATGCTGTTTGCTGCCTCCACCCCAATGCCTGTGAAGAACTGGAAGCCTGTGTTGAAAGCACCTCGCCATTTTGGGGGTGCCACTTCCGAGAGGTATATAGGAGTTGCCTTCATTGAAAGTTAACAATAAATTTTAATTGTTTGTTTAAACATTGTTAGTGCATTTATGATTATACACGTACTAAAAGCTAATTCTTTACATGGTATTTAAATCACAATCTTAATTTTTAACGGAAATACGAATACAAATATGATGGAGGACAAAAACAAATAGATAATTACTTGATTGGTGAAACCAACCCCAAATCCAAACAAGATACGACCTAAGATAAGCATGGTAACATTAACCTTGCCCCATTAATGGCAGCACCAGCAAGGAATGTGAGGCCACCTAACACCATTGTGTTTCGTCGACCCAGTGACGCGGCTAGCAACCAGTGATGCAGTGTACAGTGAAGAAGTAAATGAGGATAAAACTTGGGTATCATACATGTAATAAATGTTGTTATTAGCCTCTGTTGCTTTTCGTAATTCTGATGGGAAAAATTTCTTAAGAAATGGTTGCATAGTTGTCACCCCTCCTGTAAAATATTCAGCCAGTGATACCAGAGAAATTTCAGTTTCGGCAGACTCAAGGTTTTTAGTACAAATTTATCATTCTAAATTCCATTCACTATAATTGTATGATTTTGTGAACAAATATTAATGTTATTCTACTTAATATCTCTTTCGAAAGGAACTATTTTTGGAACAATACCTATGAAGTTTTCACAACTCGCTGAGAAACTTCTAGCGCACTTGGATATTTTTGGCATTCTTATTCTAAAAACTCTCTCATGTTTTTTCTTCTTCTTTTTACTTGGCCACATCAACCAACTCTATCAATTTTCAATCCTACCTACCATCATTTGTTTTTGTTCCTAGTGTTATTAGGTATGCTTCAGTTTTTTCTTCAAGGAAAATGAAGAAATCAAGTCCAGCTTGACCCATTTTCATCTCTAAGTAGAATTCGAAAATTATACGATAATTTAAAAAAAATGGTCTCAAATCATTAAGAGAATAGATAAATTCTTAGTTTCAAAATCAAGTATGAATGATATTTTGAAGTGGTCAAGATCAAGTTTAGTCTAAATGACCCTTGGAATGAATCACGGTCATCTAAGATTAGTCTAAAAGACGCTTGGATTGGATGAAATGAATCAAGCGATATATTCAAAGATTGTAACTTTCAAGTTAGATAATAAAATGACCCTTGACACGAATCACGACCATCTAAGATATATATAGTCTCAATGACCCTTGACAAGAATCACGATCATCTAAGATTAGTCTAAAAGACGCTTGAATTGGACGAAATGAATCAAAGGATATATTCAAAGATTTTAACTTTCAAGTTAGATAATAAAAATGGTTTATTCTCAACTTTTAGTTCATCCTTATTTCAATTTTGATTTAAATTCTCTAATCTCTTCCTAGTTCCTACCCAAATCAATAATACTTTATTAACTTAAATGGAAAGATATAATTTAGAGATTAAAGGATAAATAATACCTGAAATTCCGACGCCATAGCCAAATATGAGGCCACTTGAAGCAGCAACAATGCAGGTGACCACCAACGAAGTAGTGATCTTGCCATCGAATCTGCCAGCATGTCTATCGACACCGCCGGAACCTCCTACATCCATTTCTGCTCTTCTTACAGAACCTTGAAGAACTGGGGGAAAAACCAGTAGGAAGCACCTTATTGAGTGAAAGTGAATGAAAAAGTAATGCAAGGTTTATCAAATACCTGCTTACTATAGATGCCTCTACCTAGGAAATTGAAGTACATCCAAAATTATGATGAGGAATCAAAACAGCTATTCAAAAACACATTTATAACTGATTTTCTACCTCTATGATACATATTTTGAATTAATTTAAATTTCTTTTTTAACATTTTCAATTAATTTAAAATTGTTATTGTATTGTTAAATAAGAAAATAAATATATTTAAATATTATTCGTATATAAAATGATTGAAAATACCAACTTAGTATTTTTGATATTAATGCATTTTGATCTCACTTATACATCTTTGTTAACTTGTCATTGAATTGCACGAATCAAGTGATATTGACGGTATACGGTAATTTCTTGAAGTCTTGGATTTGAGTACTATGAATATCAACGATATGATATCAAATGATTGAGAATCATCTTTGAAAATGTACTACATTGCATTTACCCTAAATTAATACAAGAAAAAAGAAAAAAAGCTTATCATTGAATTAATAAATAATATTATTATTTGCGTCTTATCTTATTTTTGTATAAATTAAGTGTTCAAACATCAAACATAAGATTAGTGTGAGTAATGCAGACAGTGAGAGCTCTTTTTGAGGAGTGAATGAAGATATTAAGGAAATGGTTAAGAATTATAATTTTAATTTAATAATTTCAAACATATGTACTCTTATAAAAGGATAGTTCCTACTCATATTAGATATTAAAAATTATTATTTTTATTTTCTATAAATTATCTTTTAAATGAGCAACG